GACACACACACATGCGCATACGGCACAGTTTTTCGTTCGTTTTTAAAACGAGCACACCACAAGTTCCCCAAAACGAAAGGACGAAGGGACCCGACCCGATGATAAAGTCGATGTTCCAGGCCGGAGATACACTTGTATCGTTCGCCTGCCTTTGCCGCTGCTGGTGTTGCTGCTGCTGCTGTCATCGTCAATGTTATTTTTGTTGCTTCCTACTCGTCGTCCTTCGTGTGTCGCAGGATGCCTTGGTATATGTGTGTCAGTCAGTCACTGGCCGAGCGTGTGCGAGTGTATGCGTGCGAGAGCGTGTGTGTGCGTGCGCCAGGATACGCAGATACCCAGATACCTACACATGAAGCCACCAAATCCAGGCGAGTTCAATGCGCGGCCAGGACGAAGGACTAAGCTCTGTTTACATTGGCCCACGAATGCCCACTTCCAAGCCCCCGTTTTCCGACCGTTGGCGTGCGGTGGGAAATTGTGTCGCCTGCTTATTTATTATGGAAATGCAACTTTCATTTGACTCGGCATTTGTCCTGTTTCCATTGTTTGCGGCCACATTAGGCAGCTTGTTAAGCGCATGAAAGTGTGCGTCCTGCGGCTATGCGAGTGTGTGTGTGCGTGTGTGTGTGACACGAAGGGGAACTAAAAACTAGGGCAGTGTGTTTCCGTTTCAACGACATGCCGCAGGCGAAAGGACGAGTCCGCAGGACAGCAAAGCCTCGCTAATCTGCCATGAAATGAATAACTTAACAAGTTACCATTTCAATGTTTGCCACTAAATGTATTCCATTAAAAGAATATGCAAACGAAAGTCATAAATGAAAAGCATGTTGTATATTTCAAAAAATCCTAGTTTTTGGTACCACATTGCGTATGCTTAACCAAAATGTGCGACTTTCGCAGCCAAGGAAAAAGCTTTCAGCCTCACAAATTTCGGATTCCCTGCACCGCGCAGCCGCCAATACGCCATCAGCCAAAGTGAGAAATTGAGAGAACTCTCCGAGAATTCTCAGAGAACTGAGAATTTAAAAACAGCGAGAGGGCTGCTGATTTTGCTTTCAAGTCTGCTTCGCATCTTTATTTATTTATTTACTTGACACGCTTGGTTTTCCGGCTACGGAAAATGGTGATACAATGTCTAAAACAATATTTTTTTAATAAAATGCTCAGCAGCCAAATAAAACTGAAGGAACTCATTTAAAACACAAATATCATTGACAAAAGTCGGCGGTCGTAAAAAAATTAAAAACGCAAATAACTCTGACAGCTTAACTAAGAAATATAATTAATTACCGCGTTCGTCGCGCTGCCTTGGCAAATTAAATAGTATTTAAATTATCGCTCAACTCCATAAATCTCTTGCAGCTTAACACACAAGGAAAAATTTCGTGGGCAAACAAAGCTAAATAAGTTGTGAAAGGAAACATGAGCAGTGTGACTAAGCGCAGTTTCTAATTTAACCAAATTCCAATTCAAATTCACAAAACAAACTATCGATCAAAACGGCAAAGAAACAAGCAAACAAACCAAACGCACAATGAAACTGATAAGCCTAATGCAGCTGATAACACAATGAAACTCATCCACGGAGCCCAAATGCAATTATGAAATAATCAGCAATACACAATCCATCAGCAAGTGAGGAACATCCAGCCAGCCCAAGAATTTCCACGTGCAACATTGGCAAGCTGCAACAACCACAAATCGTCTACACATTGATGTGCGATTTGAGCGTGTGAATGTTGGCAGCCCTGGAGCCCTGCCTCGGTGGTTTAGCCAGTACTAGGTGAGTACTCCCAGTCCTCCACCCATTCGCCCAACACTGTTCCGATTCCCAATTCGATTGCACCACTACCACCTCCACCACCACCACAACATCCACACACTTTGCCGCTTAGAAACCCGAATATGAGAAGGGATAGCGAGGGGAAAGCCATCGCAGCCGCAAGATCCGCATCGAAACCCAGAAAGACCATCAACACCACATCAGCGAGCGGTCCGCCCGGAACGAACCATCATCAGACATGGCCAGCTGGTGCCCCAATTGCCACGAACTGCCACCGTTCTATCCGCCCATCACGCCAAAGGTAAAGCCCTTGATGTCGTACGTGATAAATCCACAGATAAATATTCGTACGCCACGCTTGTGAAAGACCATCTGAAATTGTAGAAATCACGTTAGCGGCTCCACTATGATCTGCATACGGAGTACTGGGGCTACCTTATCTGCAGCTCGTCAATCAATCAATCATGTTTCCATCGATAGTTTGCAGTGCTAACAGCTGCCATTCTTATCACAGTTTGCTCTACTTCGAACATATATGGCAGTGATCTTTAATCCTATCGCTTATCACTTTGTTTTGCATTTAAAAGAGCGAGCTCATTATATATTTACTCATTAAAGTGTAGGTGTTTCCCCTTGTAAACATTTTTGTAACACACAAATTATCTGTAAATTAAGTGTGCAACTTGGTGTAAAACGATACTGTAATTTTAAGATATTTGTACCATCTATTGTAAATTACTGTAAATAATCAAATCAGTGCTTAGAAGTTTATAATGTTTGGTTTATCCACTAGGTGCGAATGCTTTTCCATTTCTTGAACAATAATATACTTTAAGCTAAGTCCATTTTTATGTAGGAGTTTCAATGGCTTTCTTCTTGTGCTTAATCTAATCTTAATTATGCGATCCTATATTCCGCTTCTTACTTCGAGTTCGTTCGCTTCATTTAATAAATGGGATTTCCATCACTTTGGACACCCATTCGCCATGGGTCGCGTGACCTTTGGGAATCTAGCACACAGACCACCAAACACTGGACATTAAACAGAGAACCCAGAGACCACACACACATACACACACACAACGACCAAGTGCAGCCTAAGCCCTTTGGCCTTGGCCAATGTCCAATGTCCGATGGGAAAGAGAAAATAGCGGAGGGACCAGTGGCCGGCAATCAACGGACCCAATCAGCGGGCCAAGTGCTGGCCATAAATTGCTCAGAAAGTCGAAGGGTATTTGTCAGCTTCGTCAGTTGTCGCCGTCTTTGTGCCTTCCGAGCGTTTCGCTTTGACGGACATGCGTCAAGATATATAGAGCTGGTCAGGGGCTCGCCCACGCCCCCAAAATCGATAGTTCGCAATGTAAATTATTATCTAGCCACCGGCAGCCGTGTGACTTCATCCGTTTCTGGTCACAGAATGACAGGCAAATCGGCCCGGTGGCATAATTTATATCGTTCACTATCTTTAGCACCCGCATTCATAAGACGCCTACAATTCCAACGACTTGGTGCAGTATCTTTGAGCCAGTAAAGGCGGTTCGACCGAAAAAAGCATTCTCCATTTGGGCCAAAAAATAGAGCGACCAGTGCTTCTCATGTTATAAATAATTCATTCAACGCCGGCCACTGCATTTTCGCTTGGATCGATGAAAGTGCTCGGAAATTAATCCAAATACTAGAAAAAGGCAAGCAACTGAAATGTACGATACGTTTGAATGTGCTTATTTAAAGGAAACTTGATACCACCTCTAAATTCAATCCAACTTTGTGGGTGTGTTTACTTTTTTAATACAAATAAACGTTGAGTTGAGTTAGAAAGAATAATATTTATAAACGCCTCAAGTCTGACATAAAGTTCAAAGTTGAACCTATTCCGCATTAAAAATAACACCTCTAGTGGAACTTTACAATTTAACCCAAAAAAAAAAAAATTTTAGTAATAAATAAAAATTATAATAAACTTCATGACAATATTAATGCAGCTTAAAAACCATTCAGAACTTTGCAACTTATATTTTGAATTTCCTAAATATTACGTATACGCAATGACTGAGCTTAAATTCAAGGTAAATGCTGCTTAAAAATAGTCATCAAAAATTTAATTGAATTACAATTTTGCTCTTCTTCTCTATTTATAATTGCGTAAATGCAATGAAGCGAAGAACCTAACCGCCCAAGCAGAGCAAAAAAAAAAAAAATAGAGAGCAGAGAAAAAAAACGATACTGAAATAAAAACTATAAATAAAGTGCACGCCACTGGCTTATGATGAGCATGTTGATGATATGGGCTAGGATAGCAGTGCAGGGATGCGAGGGCTAAGGATGATGAGCAATTATGGCCAGTGGGGCAGCAGTGGAAAGTAGTGCAAAGTTGTGGCAGTGGCATGTGCAAACAAACTGGGCCAACTTGTTACCACGGCTGCCCCCGCAGGAAATAGCAAACAAAGCGCGTAAATTATGAAACGACAGCTAACTGGCGGCATGGCGTGACTCGCCCGAGTTAACTGTGGCAATGGCAGTAACGTTAACGTTCACGTTAACCTGCCGCCCACCCATTCACCCACTGTACACCACCCACTTTTTGGGGACGAGTGCTGCCCGGGGGCCATGGGGTCACAGAAGAAGGAATGCAAAAAGTGTGTGTATAGGCGCAGAGCACAAAACAAGAGACAAACCAAAATACAAAGGCGAATAGAAGCGAACTCATAATTTATTTATTTATATTCGGCCTGCCGTTGTCTCTTCTTCTTGTAACAATAATTCATTGTAGCCAACACACACGCATGTGCTGGCTGCCCTTGCCAAGGGTTCCACCCGAAATTTGCATCAATCGAACTTTTGATTCGAACATACCAGCATGAGATCGTAGAAAACTTGGCATTAACAGAGCTAGCAATAAAATATATGTGCTGCTTGCTAGAACAATCTTAACTTAACTTAAGATTAAAGTTAGACCAAACGTTGTAAATAAGAATCTATATAATTATAACATTTAGCATAATAACAACTTCACATTTTCTCTCCTTGAATTAATTTTTCTTACACATCATAATCCTTGAAATCTTTTGGTTCTGGATGCCAAACGCTGCACAAAGTCCTTCAAATCCAGGCAGCCATATTCATGAGGGTCCTTAGAATTCATTGCAACCCCACAGTAAGGGTATATCCGCTTTATTCCAATACCCAATTGAATTCGCCTTGTCTTGGCGCTGCCTTTTAATTAAATTCAAGTTTGTCGCCCGTCCTGACACTTTTCGCGGTCAGCCATATAGCCGTATAGCCGTACAGCCGTACAGTCCGCCGGAGAGCGAGAGAGATGGCCGGAGAGTGGGTGAGCCAGAAAGAGAGAGGGAGGGAGAGTGAAGGCCCCCAAGGGGATATAGATAGATAGGAGCGGGCTCTTCGTAATCGTTGGAACCGTCCCGATGGCACTGGGGCAATTGGAAAACGGCTCGTTCAGTTGGTGGACGCCAGTTGTGCGGTTCGCTCGGTGCCTCCTTTTGATTCAGCTCGATTCTAGACTAGAATCTAGAATCGCGTGCGTGCCGCGTCGTTCGTGTGACATCCCCCATATATATAGTAATATATACATATACTATACGCATGTATATCTGTGGCCCCGTCCCCACCCCCAAAAGTTCGTACAAATTGCAAATTCACATGCGTATGTGCAGTGATTCACCGAATGAGTGCGTTGGCCTCTGGCCGAGAGTTGTGAATACCCAGTGAATACCCCGTGAATGGCCAGTGAATGCAGGCTATAGCCACAACTGTAATCAGATTGTATACGTGTAGTTATGGAATTCGGTTCTATGGATCGTAAGATCGGAGCTGTGTAGTCGGCCTTTGCCCAGTGTTATGAGCACTTTTGTCGCCGTGCGTGTGTCGGAGGAAAAGATCACTTTAAAAATAACAGATTTGTTTGATGCTATTTATAATAGGCGGGCCAAGTTTTCGTTCCGTTTCGCATTGTGAGGCTGAGGCCTTTGGGTGTTCAGCGATCTCGGTGGATCATTCGTATCTTTCGGATTTCCCAGCGTCTTTTATTCTCTGGCACTCGCCTGCACTTGAACGCCATTCGAATATCGCGGCAATATTAATTTGACAGCGTTTGTGTGCCAGTGTCGCAATGTAAACAGCCAAAATGGCAAGCGGTTTGATCGACACCAATTTCAGCAGCACATTGACAAATGTAAGGATTGCACACAGAACACACTATGTGCCCAATGCACAGAGAGAATTTGGTAGCAATATGTGTAGAACAATATACAAGTAGTGCCATTATAATAAACAGAATGTAAAACAGAAAGCTGTTCAAGCAAAATAAATATAATTTAATTTTTAGCTACATATTAAACTTAAGGAATATACAACCAACCCCATAGATTATGAATAAGTAGGAATAAGTAACCACATGGAACTGCATATTTCATTACACAATACTGTAAAATGTCATTATTATTTTGCGCTTTCTTCTTGGTGTGTGCACAAGTGAATACAGTTTTCGGCTAAACAAACTAGAGACATTTATTCATGAACTCATTTCATTTATGCGCACCCTTGGCCAGGCGCAAATTTTGTTTACATTCGCCAGCGTCGCCAAGTTGAGAAGAGTATATAGTGTTAGTGTATATATATAAGATTGGATTGCGGCCGAGTGGCTTCATGCGGGTATAGAAGGCGTTTCGCCGATTTCAAATGTCAAGTGTATGACGTAAACAATGTTTCCGCCAGTTATCGTATTGATTTATGCTAATTATAGTTAGCTAATTGCCAGCACACTGCAACCGAACTAATTGCTACCGCTTCTCGAATATATATTGTAATTGCAGGGGATGTCGGGGTGTGATCAAAGCACTGTCGAATCATTGGCCGACGATCCAACAGATTCACCATTCGACGCCGATGATTGTCTCAAGGTGCGCAAGTACTGGTGCTTTCTGCTGTCCAGCATCTTTACATTCCTTGCTGGCCTGCTCGTGGTGCTACTATGGCGAGCCTTCGCCTTCGTCTGCTGCCGCAAGGAGCCGGACCTGGGGCCCAACGACCCCAAGCAGAAGGAGCAGAAGGCCTCCCGCAACAAACAGGAGTTCGAGGGCACCTTTATGACAGAAGCGAAAGACTGGGCTGGAGAGCTTATCTCGGGTCAAACAACAACTGGTCGAATTTTGGTGAGTGCCCTCCCTTTGGACATGGTCCATTTATCATTTATGAGTGCCCCCCTTCTTTGTTTGCTGTGGAAATTTGCCCAAGCATATGGTCACATTGCTGCACTGTGGGAAATAGTGGCGTATTCTAATGATGGAATCTATGGAAAATCCAAATAAATTAGAAAATATTGCAGAGAATTGTTAGCATCTACAGTGGAGTTAATGATCCAATACGTCCAATGATTAACGTACTTTAGTTGTAATAACTTGTGGAGAGACCTTCGTTACTACTCCGTTGCTACATGGAATGTTCCTTGAAGAAGCCTTTTTATGGGAAGGCCTTATTGTATATAAAGATAATGGTTTCCGTCTTACAAGTTTAAAGTATCTTTTGGCTAAGTAGAGAGAAGGGTATCTGTGTCTGCATGAAGTAGAATCTTCGAGAAAGTATGTTCGTATAAGCAATGCATTCCTAGAAGTTCAGTAAGCAAAGTCAACCCACTTGCCATAAGAACTTATTAATTTCTCCAAGTGCCATCCCTTCGAATGCCAAAACCCGCTGAATTATTCAGAGATCGAGTGGGTATATGGGTGCCACTAGCAAGGAAAACATTGAGGTGTCCTTGTCCATCGTTGCAGCTGGCGAAAGTGCCGTCGCCATGCATTTGGAGCAGTTTCCAGGCACATTCTCCTCCATGCCTCCATGTCCATTGGCTGCCACTTGCGTGTGTAATTTGTTTGCGATTGCTGAACTGCTGAATCGGTGGACTCGGTGGACTCGGGGCAGCCATTTCATGTCAACAACGGAAGCAGCAAAGTAAATGCGCCATTTCCACGTACAATAACTACATGAGCACAAAGTGGGGGAGAGGTGGGTGCAATTGGGGGTCTTTCAATTACACTATGCCTGCGTAGGAATTAACTTCAATGGTTTTGTGGTTCTCGCCCACTTCCCTCACAACAGGTCGATGGAAATCGTTTGTTTGTCCAAATATTACGCATACCTCATGGCGTACCGTCCCATCAATTAACTTGCCTTAGTTAATTACTCACACTGGCTCAGCGGCAATTTAGTGGGTCTTATTGGGCATTGTGGCTTAATGCGCTCGATAAGTATTTCTAGATTTGATGTTGCCGACACTTTGAGTGCGAGCTTATCAGCTGAATTTTTGCATTTGTCTGGGGGACTTTAGGTGGGAGGAATAGCGCTGTCATGTGTGTATGGTAAATCCTCTTTGAATGTATAAATATTCTCATTGATAAAAAACACGGTTTTATGTATAGTTGTGAATTAATTAGAATTATTATACATAAATCTAGTAGCAGTTGCTTCTGGAACTTGTTATATCATTTTTTGTTCTTTCATTTCTGCCGAACATGCTATTCTCTGTACGATAAGCCTTGTTACAAGTAAAGTTTGATTGCCTGTTCGCAAGTCTTTGAGGGAGCAGGATTCTTTGGCAAAAGTGACAAGCTCTGTCCGATTGTAAGGGGTCAAGGGTGGGACATCCATAACCTTGCACCACGCATCCTGCCCTCCGCCCAATCCTCGCCAGGCAGTTCAGCGCTGCCTCCTTGTCAACTGGCGCACAATGGCGCAGCGGTGGGTTGCGATCATTGGCATGTAGCATGTGCTCCCGCTTTTCCGATTTTCCCATTTTCCGACCGCCCGCCGAGTGGTGCGTTGTGTCTGGCACACTTATGGGTTTGTTGGTTACTTTATTTTATATTGAAATATTATTTTAAAATATTTAGTTTTCAGTTGATTAGCTTCTCTTCAGATCCTATAAATAAAAGTGCCTCTTTCAGCCAATTGGAACTTTGGGCTTATAAAGGGAAGCGGGCTCCGAGGAAATGATGTATGCATATGCCTTTGGGTGGGATTCAGTGGAGGAGTGGGTGGGGTTTGCCCGAGGAACCACAACAAATAACAGTAAATAATATGGCAAATGCCAGGATAGAAGCCGTTTGAAAGGAAAATGCTACCAGCAGGAAAATCGATGAAACAGCGCGCACATTTCCACTTTCACCCGCTGCGGAGTGGGGTTAAATGTGGGAGGAGAGTGGGCTGAGTGGGTGGCAGATTGTGAATGTTTATTACCAGGCCTAGTCACCATACACTCGTAGTTGTGTGCCGGGCTTTGGCAGCCAATTGGCTTTGCTGTTTGGCAGACAGCGTCGAATTTCCTTTCCCTTCCCGTTGTTACGATGTGTACTGCGGTGCAGCTGCTTTCGGAAAAGTCCTTTCGCCTTTCGTCCTTTCGTGTGGCGCCCCTTTTTGGGTGTTGTTTATCCTTGTTGTTGGGCGTTGTTATTGTGGCTGGCAAAATGAATGGCTTGCCATTTGGATATTACACAATTCGTGCCTGCTGTTTCCCTTTTTTTATTTTTGGCAGTTTCCTCCACTTTCTCCGAATCGCTTTGGCTTATTTCAAGATAGCGAAACCCTGCCATTTGTTATCCGCTTTTATTGAACTATCCATGCAACTCTAAGCGGATTGAAGCCCTGCTGCAGGTGCTAATTGGCTTTGGTATGCGCGTTGCACTGTGACTCCAATGCGGAAGTCGTCTGAAAGAGCTTAAATCCCAGCACTTGCCACCCATCTACGCCCACATCAGATTGCACTTGGTCACGCCACATATATGAGTGCTGGAAAAGCTGAAAAAGAAAAACATAAACAGTGAACCCATAACATTTTAAAGTGCTGCACGCAAAAGAAAAAAGTGAAATTTATGTGAAGCAGATGTGCCACAGATATACATTTCAATTTTAAGAGTACAATGAAAAACTACTTGATTTTGGTTTGATCGATTTAAGCAACTATAAATACTATCTACAAAGCTATCAAGTGTTTTAATGACTTAATTATTGGAGTTTACTGCGCCGTGCATTCAGTTAAATACATTCAATCCGTTGGCTCTCAAACAAATTGCTGTATTTGCGGCATTATGGCCAGGACAAATCGCATTCGAGCTTTTTGCAGAGGAGCCAACAAATCGAATTGAAATTGTTATGAGTGGGACACGTGTTTTCTCGCCTCGTGACCCAGATACCCAGAATCGCGCTGATGCAATTTGATGGCAGCCAGGACTTAAGTGCTTTTCTCTCTGTGAACTCAGCTGCTCCGAGTGATTGACCCAGTTTTCATGCTCCCCGGCCATTGGGCCATTGGGCATGCCAAGTTGGGGGAAAGTGGGTATGGTGGCTTAGGTTGGGTTGTGTGACAGTGAAGACGTCAGAGAAGAAGTTGCCGCCATATTGAAACCTGCATTTATTACCTTTTGTCCGTGACGTCAGATAACCGTGTGTGGTGTGGGGTTTCATTAGGCTTCCGTTTCCGACATCTTGGGGATCAGGGTGGTGGCTAATGAAAGTGTCAGTTGCCCGGCACCACATGACGTATACGCAATGCCAGCAATGTGGGGAAAACTCGTTGCAATTTACTTGAAAATTCTAGTCTGTCTACTGAGATTGGCAAAGTTTTTCGTGCTGGCAAAAACTTTATTGCGCAACTAACAAGTTCGTAAGGAGATTTTGTGTTTGTGTAATTTGCATGCCAAGAAAAAGCCGCAGAGCAAGAATAATGAGTAGTCCGACCGGGCCAAGACATTTCAATTTATGGCCCTAAGTAAATAGCTTGCGTGCCGGTTTCGTGCCAAATTTAGCTTTTCCTTCTCTTCTCTGTGGCACTTCGCTTTCGATTATCCACGTAATTACGAAACGATAGCACCGACAATTACAATTACAATTGCATTGGCATTATGTATGGGAATATACCCTGTACCCATCTACTAAACATACATATAAAGAAAGTGCAGCCAGCTCAAGTTGAACTACCTCGTTTGGCCTCTACGAAAGTGTTGTTTTCAGTTGGCACACAGCGCTGGCATTTAGCTAGCCAACTCCCTCAGAATTTCATCCTTCTCGGAAATTACCTTGTAAAACTTTCATGACTGCCGCAGATTTATCAACGGGTTGGGTCCGACTAATTGCCCCAGCAGCCGCGCATTTTCTGGCCGGACATCGTCCCTTCGTCCTTTAGTCCCTTAGTCCCTTAGTCCCTTAGTCCTTTCGCCATGAATCAAATGATCCGTAAGAACCGGAGTCCGTGGCCTGTGCCAAAGTGTGCAATTAAAAATGCACATTACTGCGGTTTTCCCTCTTTTTGCCCCACCAAAGGAAAGGACCATTTCCGATTATCCTTTTCCTTCAGGCCACCGCTTTTCATTCCTTGCCTTTTGCTTTTGCTTTTCCATTTCCAATTTCCGTTTTTGGGTGGGGGAGTGGGCTGCTGTTGAGTTCAATGAAGCGTTCGAATGCGGTTGTCATCTGACAAGGCCGTGATTTATGGCACAGAAATGTAGCAGCTGCTCATATTTGTAAGGCAGTTGTGTGTGGGTTTATTTTATAACAGCCAATGAATTTATGAGTTATTAAATGAGCTTGCTGTTCTCTTAAGCAGAATAACTCATGTCATGTGCGGTTCTTTAATTTACAAAATCGATAAGGGATGTCTCCCTTATGGCTGATGAACAAAATATGTTTTATAGCGATTATTTATAAGCTGCGGAAGAGCTGTAATTTAATGTGGTTTGTAATGATGCCTTTTAATTATGTTTCCATTTTCTCTTGCAGGTCGTACTCGTATTTATACTCAGCATTGCATCCCTCATTATATACTTTGTTGATGCATCTAGCGAAGAAGTCGAAAGATGCCAAAAGTGGAGTAACAACATTACTCAACAGATCGATCTCGCATTCAATATATTTTTTATGGTTTACTTTTTTATACGAGTAAGTTGCCGACGGCCAATTAGACAGACAGACACACACACACTGACACACTGACCACACCAGCGCACACACTGAGTTGATTTAAGAATTATTTGAATCAATTGGTCTGGAGCGATGATGATTTTGGTATTTTGATTTATGCGATAAATTCTTAAAAACTCTTTCGTTTTTTTTAATCTGACAATCTTCTTACAGTTCATAGCGGCGTCCGATAAGCTTTGGTTTATGTTAGAAATGTACAGTTTTGTAGATTATTTTACAATACCCCCGTCCTTCGTATCAATATATTTAGATCGAACATGGATCGGTAAGCGAAACAATCCCTCTCAAATTAACCTATCCCAATGAAATTCCAAAATGTTATATGCATACAAATCGGTGTTGCTCAAGATTGGAAATCAATCAGATTCCCAAGTGTATATAGATATCCTTCACACACACACACACACACAGTCACTATGAAACACAGAAACAGCCACACAAAAACAGCCAGACCCAAAAAACAGTGTCCTGATCGATTTGTATGCATGCAATGTGCCTTACTCTACATGAAACATCCGCCTGTATGCAATTGTGTATATACCTTGTGTATTATCGTGAACAGGTCTTCGATTTCTTCGAGCGCTACGTCTCATGACTGTTCCAGATATTTTACAATATTTAAACGTACTAAAAACATCGAGCTCCATACGCTTGGCTCAACTAGTATCAATTTTTATATCCGTGTGGTTAACAGCAGCGGGCATTATACATCTGGTATGTAGAAACACACAAACACATAAGCACTCACACACACAAACACTCGACACACATACACGCACGCGCGATCGGTTGTGCCTGTGTGGGTGACTCTGTGGTGGGCTTGCAGCGTGTGCGAGGAGCCAGTCCCGAATATTACGCATACGCCGCGTTGCAGCCCGCTACAGAGCCCCAAAAGCAGGCACTTTCGATACGCCACAATATTTACGAACAAATATATGTTTCGATGTGTTTATGGAGTGTCCAACCGAAGAGGACTTTGGACGACCTGATCCGCTGATGCGGCTGATAATTGCATTTGCATTTACTTAAAATTTAGCTGGAGAACTCTGGCGATCCGCTGGATTTTAATAATGCTCATCGTTTATCGTATTGGACCTGTGTCTATTTCCTAATTGTGACCATGTCAACGGTAGGATATGGTGACGTTTACTGTGAGACTGTCCTGGGAAGAACATTTCTCGTGTTCTTTCTGCTCGTCGGCTTGGTAAGTTCGCAACGCAAATGCACAAGTGCAAAAAAAAAAAAAAACAAAACAAGAAATAAAAAAAACTAGAGAAAAGTAAAACAAATACCCGTCTGAACACAAACAGCAGACATACCGATAAGTCTAAGCCTTCTCTTAGTTCTAACCGAGTACGTATATAATATATACCACATATATATTATCCAGATGTAGCCAGTGTTTCTCTCTCCTATCTCTGTCCGCCTCGATGCCCATTGAGTTTAGGCCCGGCCGAAGCGGGATTGGAAGTGCTGAAGTGTGTGAATGATTTAAGTTTTGGTTGCCGCCTAATCTACTACTTACCACTAGTACAGTTGTGCTCAGAAACCATAGTTGAGTAGCCAAAGCAAGAGCAGTATCAGTATCAGTATCAGTATCCATATCCGTATCCGTATCAGTACCAATACTAGCCAGAGTGTAGCACTCTCGATACTCTATACTCTATAGTGAATAATCGATACTGAGTTCGAACTCTTTTAGACGTAACCATAGAGTAACCATGCGTTGACCCTGTTGCCCTTTGACCTCTCTCTCTCTCTTACTCTTACGTAACTTTAGACTTAATACTCAATACATTTGTTAATTGCATTTCTACTATGTACATGCCACGTTATGTAAATACATAGAACGACTTAATACCGCTGCACAAGTTATGAATTATGGAACTTTATTTGAGGCCCTTCGGCTGAGTTTCGTATTTGCGTTTATCCTACCAAAGTTTCGTTAGCTTAACTCATCACCCAAGCTTAACGCGTTTTCTTTTTTCCGACCCCCACCACGAACAAACACACGCTCACACACGCCCGGATATATCTGCTATATGTATCCGTTCGATATCCACAAGATTTAATATCTTATATACAGATGGGGGCACTCGACTCATACGTTCACGCAGCCCCATTCAATACTTTCTCCCATAATCGATACTTATGCATGCAGTTACCTTATCACTTTTCATTTGAAACTTTCGATATGCTTTGGTTTTTGTAATGGAAGATTCGTAGACACCAAACACCAGAAATACCCAACACACACAGCCAAGAGTGAGGACTATATGTTTCAGGGATCTGTCGGTTAGGATAGGAGCTTTCCAAATACATCTATATATTATCCAAAAGTTAATGTTCTTGCATGCTTTAATGCTGGCTGCCGCATATTTGTGTAACCAATGGACCGAATGGACCAGAACGCTTTTAGGCATCCTTAGATATCCTTTGGGTGTGAATGTCCTGGCCTGACTTCGTACCCACCAGATAACCGCCTTCTGCGTTTTCTTTTTTTTGTCCTTAATGCCCAAGTGAAAGCAATCAAAGCATAGTGATAACTACTAGACTAAGCCTAAGACACAATCACTGTATTTAAATCCTAACCAGTACATATATTTTTGCTGAATTGATTTTTGTTAATTTCGTGTACGATGCAATATTTTAGGCAATGTTTGCCAGCAGTATACCGGAGATAATTGAACTCGTCGGTAGTGGCAATAAGTATGGCGGTGAACTGAAAAGAGAACACGGAAAGAGGTAGTCTATAAAAACTATAATTAAACCCAATAAAAATAAAACATAATAATCGCATTTGATGTGAAAAACACCAAGCCACATTCTTAAAATAATTCACAAAAAGTTATAAATCGCAATAAATCTAAAGTATAACATGAAAATATATAAACCTTACCATGATAGCAATATGCTCTTAGTGAGGAAGTCCCATCTGATGAGAACTATTATCTTAAGATTTTCCAAAACAAAATTCGAAGTGTTAGGATCGGTTGAAGTACAAAAGAAAACTTTTGTAAAAAAACACACATTCATAGTATTTTGAGCCCATCTAGGGTAAAGTAAAAGTCCAATTAGATAAATCACTAAGTCTTAATATTGATCAAAGTCGATAAATTAAATAGTCTGTTACCCTTTCACTTTGTTTCCCTAATTTCATTGTATCTCTATGATCGCATATACAGTTGACTTACCCGCATCAAAAAGTAGTTCAGCCGACTCTTAAGTCGTCCGTTTTAAACTATTTTGTTCCTTGATAAATATGTATTTCGAATACCGAAACAGATATGACATTTGATAAATCATCAAACAAGTAATAAAAGTAAAGTACAATTTAATCATCCGATTTGTACTTCGGTTCGTATTTATTTATTATAATTTTTAACCATTTTTGTTGCCTCGCAGTCAGAGACATTTCAGCAGATTCGAAAACACATCGTTCTATTTGTACAAGCCATTAAACATTTTAATGTTCCATTTACTTAGGTTTGGTTTTCCAATTTTATTTGTTTATTTTCCTTGGTACTTGTGTTCCTCCTAATTTGTTTCGTTTCGTTAAACATTTTTATTGAACTCTTTGGCAATGTCTATCATATAATCACTTTGTAGGCAAGCGTGAGTTCATTTTGGCCATTTTACTTTGAATTTTGTCTGAAGAGTAAACATTTTATTCAAGATATTATCGTTTGACACTTATACTTTGCCATGCTTTAAACGTTTCGTATTAACACCAGAGTTATGATACAAGATATGCGTTTATCAATTTGCAATAGTTCAAGGTTCATATATATATTTATTTCGATAACCTAAAGCATTTGTGCAATCTACTTAGGCGCATTGTTGTACCACATCCCACACAGATTTATAGAGCCCCCACTTATAAACATATAATCTACAACACCAGTCCCTATAAAAAGCATCGGTCACGCATTGAATAAAGTAACTAAACTATCCAAAGTCATGACACGTAATTCAAATCGTATTTTCTTGAAGAGAGCAAACTCAAGCCACCTTCTTTGCAAGATATGTATTATTCAATTCATATTTCCCCTTTATTCCTACTAAATATGTAACTTCATTTGTCAGTCTCGCTGGTCCATATATCTAAAGTAAAGCTCACCCAAAAGGTACTTCCCATGGGATCACCTTGTAAATTCGGCGAACCGAAGTATTGCTTTCTCATCACCCTACTACTTATTCAATCCGAAGAATCGGAAGCGTACCTACCCATAAATACTCATAGTAAAATGTAATTAGGATTGTACAAAGTACGGTATTTGAATAGCGTAAAGACTAGCGCACTACCAATAATAATTCCAGATGACTTTTAGGAGGGATCTTGCTCCCCACGAACATCTCGACTCCAAAATTTGTCTCTGTCTAGGCCCCAGCACTGTCGTGTATTGTAAACTACCAATGTAAATTATTAGATGTAATCAAGTAAGAGTACAGTACAGTAAATAGATGCGAACAAAATGCGAACTCGTGGCGAGAAATCGTGTAAAGTAATGTACAATTAGCCTTAAAGTATCTGTATCTGTATCGGATGGAGTGAGTGGCAAGTATGTTAATCGGTGTAAATAAACGAGTGAGTGCGATGTGAGTGAGTAGAGTGAGTGCGAATACTGCTGTGAGTATGAATCAGAGCTTAATTGCGGGTTGAGCGGTTCCCATTCTGCACTGTTCTTCGTCGTCAGCGTCAACGTTGTCAAAATATAATAATTTTGTCCATTTCTTTTAAAGCCACACAAACACTAACACTCCATAGATCAAATTTGTTAGCCCAACAGAACAAAACCAACCAGTTAAAAACAAAATAACGAAAAAAACAAACTGAACTGAATCTCCTTTTTGGCACCTCTCAATCAATCTAAATGTGTATGTGTGTTGTTGAATTTAGGCCGTTTTCGCTAGTTGGATACCAGAAATCACTGAACTGGCTGCCCAAAGAAGCAAATATGGTGGAACATATAGCAAGGATCCTAGAAAAAGGTACACGAACACGTTGCTGGCTGTACCGCTAAGAGAAATTACCAAAACTATACAACACGAAAATATCAAGATAAACAAGAAATGATTATAAATGCAAACAAATACCAAAAACACCGCAGCAATCGAAGAGTCTTGAATTCTATTTGTATTACAACATTTTCTTTACCTAACTTCAGTCAATGAACCAACAGCTTATTTATTATTTCGATTGATTTCTTATTTTTCACCTTGTTATTGAACATTTTTATCGACGTTACCTGGAATTGCATAAAAATGACAAACTCTGACGGCAACAAATGAGTTTCGAAAATTGTTGCCAGGGCTTCCGACCAAATTAAAAAAAATATTTATCTTGTTTTGTTATTTTCATAAAGCTAAACCAAAGAAAAAGTATTAAGAAAAATCAATTAGGACTTGAAAGGCATTGGTTTCTTGGCGGCATGTGTCTGTATTTAGTTAAACAAACAATTAAAAAAAGGAAACACATTCAAAGAATCATGGCAAAAATTACACAAAAATCCAGGGAATAATCTATTCCGTATAAGAGATATAATTTATGTAATTTACTTGTCAAATCCTTCTGTAATTCTCGTTGTCGTTTACACACATTACTCTTATTTTTTGAAACTATGGCTTCATTTTTGCGTGCGTTTCATTAGGCTTATTGTTAGCTAGACAGATAAATTGTAAAATTTCATAAATTGCTTAAACCATCAAAGAAGTATCGTAAACTAAATATGTTTCTCTTGTTTGGCGCCTGTGGGTATGCAACACTTTTTGTCGTCTAAATTTCGAAATCTCTGGGCCGTCTTACCCCTATTCGTCTCACTAATCTTTACTGTACATTAGTTGCAGACTTTTTGCTAATTAATAAAAGTTTTATCGATGGGCTCCCGCATTTGTTGTGTTCGATATTTAAAGCATGCACATTTCAAACTTTTGCTAAACAACAAAAAGAACCTACTAAAACAGTATTCAATAACCACATAACACAATACATTTTCCAGAAACTAATTTACAGAAGTATTTGAAAAGGGCTACCCAGGAAATATGGATTTTTTTTCAGCGAATATTTATAAGGGCTAGACTCGCTGCATTTGAAAAGTGTAATCTTTGAGTTCGTCTTTGGTTTCTGTTTAGTTTTGACTTTGGATTTTGATTATTACCGTACATACTATATAGACCAGAGCCACTATTGCGTGTTTTTATGCAACTTCAGCTGCGTCATTGATTTTGAGTTCGAAGTGTTAAGCTCCAAAACTAGCGCTGAATCAATATACATACTTGTATGTAAGAATATATATATGTTCTCCCAACTGGCTTCTTATTTAGTTACCGAAATGCATTTTTGTTGAATCGTTTGTTTGTGCGTTGGTTTCATTATCTTTCGATTTTCTAATTTCGGTTGAAACACACTTACACCCAGTTGCTGCTTTGGTTCCCGCATAGAATTTTGAGTTTCCAATATGAATATGATTTCCATATGTTTTCCACTTGTTCCTATATGCGATACATACATAAATAAAGTTGCAGTAGTTACGTTTTTGCAATTTCAACTTATCCAACGTACTATATCGATTACTTGTAATTTATTTACCATACCAATACGAAACTAATTCCACACCTTACCTAATCGAACAATCTAATCATCTATATTTCAAAGTCGTTTATTTGCTTGCACCCACTTTGTATGCCGCAGCCACGCATAAAAATAAAACTAAAACTTAAAAAACAAAAACGAAAACGAAAACAAAACGAAACCAGTACGAAACCGGCGCTTTTTTGGCGTTGAAATATGTTTTACGACTATCATCATTTAGATAAAAATAAATTATATATTTGTATATCAGTAAAGAGTTGCAGTATCCGTATCTTTTGATCGTATTCAGTATCAGCATCATGTCCTCACATTATCTGTAACTCTTTCCCGTTCCGAACCGATTCCCACCCGATACGATACCCAACACACACACATACGTGCGGTTTAGTCTGTTAGAATGTTAGCATCACCCGATTTGAGTAGTCCTAGTCTAGAGTTTAGGCACTGAAACCCACCACAAAGATGAAGTCGAAGGTCAAATGGCCGTCGATGTGTGTGCGTGTGTACTTGGCACCGAGTTACTAGGCGTTACTTCTCCACCTAGACTTTGAATATGTTTACTATACTATATGTACGTATGTTCCGTAATCGAACCACACAACACGTAACCCCAAGAAACCATTAGAGCCATAAGAAACTAGCTGCAAGCCGTCGAAGCGGCCCATCGATTTATGAAGATAATAAGACCGATTTTTTACATACATTTTGTTTCTTTGATATCATTTTGATTTTCCTTGTTTACGATCGAAGACATAACAACAACTTCTAGTTAAACTTCTGGTTAAATGAAGCCGCAGCAACCAGAGCCAAAACAACGAGAACCACCAAGAGGAGCTTCATATGAGATATATCCGAAATAATCCACTTGGCTGCGTTTTATCCTGTGCTTATATAGGGATCCTTCTTCGAGTCTGACTTACCCATTCCCCCCAACATTCTCTCTGTTTCTCTAACTCTCTGCTGATTCTTCGGGCCACTTTCTCTGCCTCTTGTGTCTTGTGTCAAACGAAATTTGTGTAATGCTTTTTTATTTATGTTTAACAACAAAAAAAAAATCAAAAAACCGAATAGATCAAAAATACTTCACTGTCATCATTATCTTTCATACTGTAAACAGGCGATTTTTGCAAGTTGTATACCTGAGATTATAGACTTGATTGGAACAAGAGCCAAATATGGGGGCACATTAAAAAATGAAAAAGGGCGAAGGTGAGACAAACCAAATTTTCTTACAATCAATCGTAAACAATTAATCAACAAACTGATTAAACCAAAAATTATATAAAAAAAACTACTACTACAACAACAACTACAATAAGACTACTACCACAAAAATAAAATACCAATCATAATTTATAAGCCAACAACCAATTTTAAAAATCTAACCAACAACGAGCATTTATGTTTCCAAAAGTAAACACCAAATCAAAATTAAATTTCTGCCAAAAGCAGTCGAATAAACATTGAAACGATACCAATTGATAGAATTTACTTTTAGTTTGCGCTTCATTCATGCCAAACGATTTGCGAGTGTGGAAAAGTAGCTGAAATTTGATTTTGATTCTACCAATAGATACACACCAGCCTAACACCAGCCATCCACACTTAAAGCCACCACAAACATGGCCAATCCAATCCGATTCAACCAACCAACCAACCAACCAACCTACCAACCAACCCACCAATACCAATACCAATACCAGTCCAATCACAGTAATCACCAACAGCAACTCAAGCGACACACACAATATATTACTCATACGCCCGGTGGGACCGTTGGAAAGCTCAGGACGGCACATAAACAACACAGTGACAACACAGCATTTGTACATTCCAACTATCCAGGCCATCAATCAAAATCAGCCAATCAATCAATCACCCAGCCCAAATTCAAAACATTTAATCGATCAAACACTCACCACCACCGCAACAACACCAACAACAACAAACAGCCACGGAATATAAAACACCCACACAGCAATTGAAAAAAAATAAAGCCGAAATCAACAAGAAAATTTTAACTAAAATACTCATATTGCTTATATGAAAAAAGAACAACAAGTATATGTTTCAGTTCTCGAACAACTCATTTTGTGTTGGTTGTACTTCAGTTGATTTCCTTTTAGTTTTGCGACCTAGACGTGTCTACATAAGTAGTTCCAAAAAAAAATCAATATGTAAAGGTAACTTAGGACGTAACCCCCCTTGGAAATGGGGGGCTGTGCCGGGTTATGCATTAGTTTCATTACTTTTACCTAAGTTTCGCCCATCGATTTGCGTTTTCATTTGCCAGTTTTGAGTTTTGTGTTCTTTGAATTGGCATTTTGCAGATTTGATCGTATTTGAGAATCGTACCACATACAATCAATTGTTTCGTACTTAAAATACTGTTCTGAGTGTATCTACTATATCATGTGCGTACTCTTAACTACCAAATGCTATCTTGTTGTGAGTTTCCATACTACATCCTCAATTTGAACGCCAAATTATCAACTTACTCTTCTGCTACTTTCTACTCTCTATATTCGTACTCGTACATCCTGATCTTGAACCTAAATTCTTTAGCTCCTAACTTTTCGTTTGATTTGCACGTTCGTCTTCAGTTTCAAAAAAAAAGAAAGAAAAACGCGGCTTAATCGTGTTTGATTTACAATTTTGGGTATATTGTTTGAATATTATTCTTTGGTTCATCTAGAAACGAATTGGATACGTGTAATTTGCAGGTCGACCCAGCGAGTGTGAAGTCAGAGCTGATGATTGGCATTAATCGAAATTCAATATGCGTATACTCTTTAGTTTGTCTCTTTTTCTGTATGCCATATCATCCTAGCCTCGTTTTGCATTTGTATTAGCCCTTGAAGTGAATCAGTGATTGGTGTTTATTATTGTGTTACATTATCGTAATTGTCTATATAGTCCTTGCTATCGAAGTCGTAACTCGTATATATATATCTATATACATAAATAAATATACATGCGTATATGTATATCCACCTAAACGATTTAACATTGAACGATAATAATGCATACTAAATACAATAATAATATTAACAATAATAATACTATTGATTCGATTGTATACGTAAATGTTAGAATCCATTTAATTCAAAATGTACACACACATGCATAGAGTCGAACTCTCTATAGACTTTTTCTCCCCAAGTACAGACAGCAATTTGTAAATACCAAGCAATTTCCACGGAAGACTTCAATTTGCTCAATATTTTTGGCTAGATAATGTACAATATTAGAACACACGGCTTGAAAACTGGCTTTGACATCTTGACCAAAATCAGCAGGCAGCTGCCATCTGAGAAACGGATTAAACATCGATGTGTGTGTAAAGCGAATCAATGAAACCTATCAATCAATAAAACCCATTTATCTTTCCCGCATATTATACTCTTACTCTCTGCCTCTCTATATATTCATATCTTTCTCTCTTCAAACCTTCAATCAGTTATCAGATACTATCAGTGTTGTAGTTCTTGGTAAACTTGTATACACATACCCCATGCTATACACATCCACACACATCTACTCTATACTCTTATGGTTTTGATACTTTCCTCTTCTTTTACCATACTTTCGTTTCAACGAACATTCGAATACAACGGTATGATCAAGTAATAATGAGATAAACAACCATAACCTACAGCACACACACACAGATTATACAATGCGAATCGGATGAAACTGAATCTCCACTCCACCCACTTTTGTCGTAAACTCAGTGTTGTGTATGGATGCGCTCGGCGATTTCATTTGATTTCCTTTGCCCACCTTGTTCGGATCAGGATTAAGCTCGAAATCAAAACCCCAATCAAAATCAGGATCAGGATCAGGTAGGAGGTCCAGGACGATTAGATATGATGTTATGATGCGCGGCCCCTGTTCTCTAGCTAACGAACCTCCTCCGATGAGGACAGTTCATATTCTGATTCTGAGTATACCATCCGTATCCGTAAACGCAACTGAACCCGATTCCACCACTGCATCCGTAACCGTATCCGTATCCGTATCCGAGCCCCACCCAATCTCTACATACACACATCTCCTGTCTCTCTGTAACTCTGTCTCTCTTTCAAGATCTCTCCTATCCACAGTTTTTGATTTCCTCAAAAGATCCACTCACATTCATTGCACATTTCTGAGCGATAGATTTGGCGCATTGAAATAGATTTATGTTTTCCTATTCTGAGCAGCCATTCTGTATATGAAAATAAAACAATGAAAATGCGTGGCCAGGCATCAAATATGTTAAACCTTCTCACTCTATATTATTTCATTTCAAGAAAAAAAAAAAAGAAACATTTAATTCCAAACGTCACCATTCGTTTTCCTAGCTGCAGCAATGAAAAGAAATACCAGCAACACCAGAACTAATCGAATGTAGTGCATTTACTTTCTTTCTTTCTTGTTTAAATGCAAATTGAAGTTCTTCTTTCGTTTTAGCGAACTAGTCGAGCACAGTTTTTTTATTGCCACCGTAGAGGTAAACAGTTGCCTTGCATCCGGATTTGATCTACAAAAATGGATTGAACATATAACAGATCACAATCATGACATCGATCATTAAATTGTTGACCACGCTTACCTTTTTTCTAGAAAACAAACGATTGTTGTACTGACTTTTTGTTAAATATTTCTACGGACAAGGACTTAACCCATTGATTTGAAGGACTATTATCCTTTGACTTTCATCGACATTGTAGCTGAAACCGTAGGTGTATAGTAATTGGGAACTATCTGATATAGTTCGCTGATTCTCAACGCACATCCACAAACTCACAAATTCACAAACATCCAACACTCGAAAAAATAATGTAGAAGTATGCATGTGTAGTGGCACTGACACTCACTTTTTACTAGGTATGGGAAGAATGCCTGCCCGGTTTGCCTGACTGCCTGATTGCATGACTGTGACTACAGTAAATACCCAATACAAATAATCTCTTGTATAATTAGCACCTGTAGTAGTAATTTATATACCTGGAATGAGAGTAGTGTATTATACAATGTGTATATAGAAAACAAATGCGTTGGCCAGTTGCTGACTACTTTTGATGCTTTACTTGATGCATGTAAGTTGATTACTACCGAAAATGGTGTGCGTAGCTAAGCCTTTACTTAGAACAATATTATTTTCGACAATCGTTTATATATACTTATCATTTCGATTGGCGAACTGCAGCGGCAGAGTGCCGAAAATGCGGCGACAAGATCCTCATTTTGTGTCTTTTGATTTATTGCCATTGATTGATTTGTGTACAAGCCCCTGGGGTAGCAGACTAAATTCATGCATTTTGCATTTATCATTTAAGTTTTTAGTTTCAATTATGAGTTCGTGTATTTTGTATAATTTTGATAAATGTTTGTTTCCTAAGAAAATGCAAAGTAATTATACTTTACCACCAAATAATACTGACAAGCCATAAAGATAATCATAACAAGGCAACGATAAGCAGTTGATAAATAATACAAACAGATCAAAGCATAATCAATATAAAGAAATATACAGCAATACAAAACAATGAATATACTCGAATCAATAACCGCACCGAAGAACATGCACTCATTCAAACACATTCAAAGCACTCAAACACACGAACACTGACAACACACATATGTACTATATTATGGACTTGGCTTCATGGCAGATCAATGGAATGTGATTAAATCTGAGATCAATAATTCGGCTAAGGAAGTGAATTTAATTTCATGACTTGAACTAAATTCAATTTTCCTTTTTTCCGCTTTAATCGCACACTAACACTGAAACACCGTAACACACACACACACACATGCTCATTTGAAACACACACATACGTCACACATGTACAGAGCTTCAGTGCATTCCACACTAGATTTAAGTGAAATTATTGCATTAATCGTTTGAATCGCTGCCCATTCAAGGAACTAATCTATTTTTCTATCTACCCAACCCCCACCAACTCAAGACATATTGTGGTATGCGGTCATATAACATACGAATCCGTGTCGCATTTCCTGAAGGACTTCCTCCACGAAGATCGGGAGGATGTCGATGTCGAAGTGGTCTTTCTCCATCGGTAAGTCCATCCAGAATCCAATTAGCGCCTAAGCAGAAGAATAACCTGTTTACAGTCGTATTGCTAATTTGTTGTGTCGTTGTTTTATTTCCATTATTATTTGATAAATGTATGTTCCATTCAGTTTTAATTCAGCAGCAAGAGAATAATTAGCGCAGTACCTAAGCAGTTAAAAATAAAGTGGATTAGCGGCCAGCGGCGGCGCAGGAAAGTAGGCAATAGTTTTTGCAATAAAATCGGATCGTATGAAATCTGCGACTTTAGACCACTTACATAGTAATAATATCTAAATTTGATTAATTTCACATCTGTGCAGCTGCTGGCCGCTAAATCGATAGTTGGGATGCCAGTTTTGCAGTCAGTTAAGTTAGTTAAAGGCACTATTTTAAGTATTTGCATTAATCTAGCGACTAGAAAACACACAGTCAGTGAAAGTTATGTAATATTTTGATTTGGAAATACCTCTTACGTTCACTTTGTAACTAATCAATGCCTAAACTCAACTATATATATGCCATATCATGTACTGTAATGTAAACCAAATAGCAAAGAGCCTGACCTGGAGCTAGAGGGACTGCTGAAGCGTCACTATACCACAGTGGCCTTTTTTCAGGGCACTATGATGAACGCAGTCGACCTGGAGCGAGTCAAGGTACACAAACACACACCGTGACACAGACACCAAGCCACGCCCACACCCACACCCACACCCACATGCACACCACACCAACAGACACACACACGAACACCTACAGACACAGAGAGACACATACATGAAAACCAGTGAAGACACGCAGAAATAACGATTTAAACGATTTACTCGAGCCCCGATTGTCAGGTGTCCCAGCAAAAGAAAACAAAATCAAACTCCAAAATAATCAACAACATGAAAAACAACAGCGAATCTTACGTGCAACTCATACTTAGATCCTGTGAATGTTTTTGTGCCCGCAACTTAGTTCTTCAACAGCTAGGATGCAATTTCACTCAACTTGCCCTCCGATTCAAATAATTATAAAGAATTTGGCTACCTTTCGCTGCTGACCTTTCACAGCAAAAAAAAGAAAACAAAAATGAAAGAAGACACGCCCCCTTCCTCGTTCTATTTTTTATGCCATAAATCTATGCTCGCTCTCACTTTGAACTTGAACAATTCAATTATGTTTATTTTTATTGCAATTTTATAGCTTTATTACGGCATTATTATTAATGGTTTCCGGTTGCTGCTGATGAGGCTTTCGAGAAGAGCATTTTCCCAACAATTCCTCTCAGAGCTTCGTGATAAATGATGTTTATAATATTTTAGATAGACTTTAGTTAAGAATCCCGTTCACCATATCCCATTTTTTTTGTTTCATCGTTTCTTTTCTTGGCTTAAAGTATTTTTACCCCGCTTAATGGAATGACTTTCTTAGCTGAATTTTGTCATATATCCTTTTATCCAAATTTAAGCTCAAGCTTACAAATACTTCACATTTTATTATATTTTATATTTATCAATTCGTAGTAACCAAAAGTTGAATTCAAATATTCCTCTTGTATCATATCCGTACAGTTTTTATACTCCCATAGAGTTTACTTAGCCTTGAGAGCCTAGTTAAGTAATGTTAATTAGATATTTAAGAAGAGTTTTTGTCTAGAGCATAGACCTAATTTAAGTAAGGAGGTTACAGTATTTCGACTTTAGTTCAGTTTAGTTTTAATGAATCACAGTTTTTGTTGCACCTTCGGCTTGGAGATTTTCTTTAAAATAATTGTCTGCATCGTTTGTTTTTCTTCTTTTTCATTTGCATATTTGCGGACTACGAAAATCGCACCATAATCATAAATATCTGTATATTGTTTGTTGTGTTTCGAACACCAACCCACACACATGCAATGATATGATATTCTTCTGTTCCTTTGAATACAATCCAATCTACGTGAACTCTGTGTACATTGGAATCATTGAAAACTCTAAAAACTTTGTATTATTTCCCCACAACAACCACGATAAACCAAAATGAAAACCAAAAAAAAAAAAAAAAAACAATCAATTTCAAATGAAAAATTATAAAGTAAACCACCCGATTTGGAACTTGAGGGTTTGTTCAAACGTCATTTTACCACCGTGGAGTTCTTCCAAGGAACCATTATGAATCCGATCGATCTTCAGAGGGTTAAGGTAAAACAAAAATGTATTTTCATTTTATCCGTTCTATATGTTTGTTCGTTTGCTTTCGTTCCGTTGTTCATTTAACCTATTCCTTTTCGTGTCTATTTTCGTCTCGACCTGTGAGCTTTAATTTCATTATGTATTAACCGAAATCCCAGAATAAGCGTACTTCTACTTCTTACGTACTTATTTATGTAACGAACGCTCAAATGTAATTACAACCCGCCTATTAATATACTAATCTATGTATTTACGTGTGTGTGTGTGTAATGTCTGTCTAACTGTACAAGCGATATTCGTGTAATACATGCGTGGTGTATGCGACCATAATGCATTTTCTGGACCTAGTTTAGTTTACAACACCACACCACATCCATCGGTACACGTATCCGTTGGATTCCAGCACTCGACTAACCATCTGAACATGAATCAAACAAATCGAACGCCAATTCACGAAACAAACACTCGCTGTACACTGAAACACCGTAAATTGATGTTGAACTTGTTGTGTAAAATGATAACGAAATCATCTTGATTTATCCTTATTTTAAGCTGCATTACTTGCAACGATTAACGTATACGTAATTTCCTATTTATGTATGTGCTAAGTATTCTACTGTACGTGTTAAGTTAAGTGTTAATTGTATAATATGGATTAAATAGGATTTGAGGGATTTTAAAATTTGAGTTAGTTTTATAATATGGATTATATTGGATTTTAGGAATTATAGAAATGTTTTGAGAACTTGCAAATTTTTGAGTGAGGATATAACTATTTAATTAGTAGCTACGAATTAATTTACACAAGTTAAACCAAAAAAATATATGCTTGATATCATTGCAAATGATATTAATTCAGGAACATAGATTTAGGTATAAAATAATCTTTAACATAAATTTGTTTTTATCAGAGAAGACTTTTTGTATATTTTCAAAGTAAAGAAGAATATTTATAAGTTATAACTTTGAACTTGTTTAAGAGCAGTAAAGGTTTTTGTGAGTCTGCTCATCCATTTACTTAGATTTTGAGGGAAATGTATATTAAACTACAGTAAGCCATCATTAAGTACATGCCCTAATAGTTTGTATATATATTTATCAGCTTAATCGATATCCTTTGAATCGACACTCTTGAGCAGCCTTGGCCTTGTAAAATGCCATATTGCGATGCAGATAGTTACTTTTCACAGTATCTGAGCTTATCTTTTGCATGCGAGCATACTGCATGTCTATAATCAGATACAGATGCTTGTAGCTAGTGCCAATCTATTGTCTAAACGCCCACTTGAGTTGCTCTTGAGTTTTGTGGGGCTTTGGTATTTGGTATTTGATATTTGATTAAGTTTAAGTTCCCCCACGCCAAAACCAACCACCCCGACACTTTTGTGTACTTGTTCTTTGTGAAAACACCCACCCGTGCACCGAGCGTTCGCCTTATGATTTCTTAATGTGTCCTTAGTTTGGAGTTGAAACCGAAAGACTGTGTTATCCAGCAACCCAACCACCCACCCACCCAGCCACTGTATAACCGCTTACTATATCCCCAACCGGCCCCTTGTGGGCAATGCTAATGAATACTACTCGTACCCCAAAGAACCCTACTCAGTACGTACGCAATGCATATGCAAGATATCTAAATATATATATATTGATATGGACTCGATCGCAGCCAGATCGAGCCAACCAAAAACAAACACTCACCTGTGGCATTTTAAGTACTCATACTCGTACCATAGTTGTCCAGTCGATGTGCGTGTAAACCAAAAAACAAAAAAATCGCTTACTAATTGTTTATATTGTGGACAATGCTCTAAACGTGACACCTCTGCAATATCTATTCACAATAACAGTAACAATAACAATCACTGAACCATAACAAACTACTTGGAACAGTTCAACATAACAAAACTAACTCACATGAGACAAACATCAATGCCCATAGACATAGTCTGACCATAAACAGCTATACTAGATAGCCATTATAATACTATGCTAATCCGAAACACTCTATCTCGATCCTTGCATCCTTTGGATATTGCGAATGCAATAGGTTCATGAAGCCGACGCCTGCCTCGTGCTAGCTAACAAATATTGCCAAGATCCCGACGCAGAAGATGCTGCCAACATCATGAGAGTCATCTCGATCAAAAACTACAGCGACGACATTCGAGTCATCATCCAGCTGATGCAGTACCACAATAAGGTGCGTCTGGCATAAATACATAAAAAATATTTATTTATTTCCAATGCTTTCAAGGCCTCTATTTTCCAAAATCTTTGTTTTAAAACGATCTTTATGACAATTCCTAGGCGTACTTGCTGAACATACCATCGTGGGACTGGAAACAGGGCGACGATGTCATCTGCCTGGCCGAACTCAAGCTGGGCTTCATTGCCCAGAGTTGTTTGGCGCCCGGGTTCTCGACCATGATGGCCAACCTGTTCGCCATGAGGTCGTTCAAGACGGTAAGTTGGGGTTGCAGTCCCAGTCCAGAGATCAGGCCACTCACCTACGAAATACCAGACACACTCACACTACTGGCGCCCAGTGGAAGCAGGCCCAAAAAGGCTAGATATTTTCCAGATTTACCGCTTACAGATTACAGATCCGCAGACAAATGTAACGCCCAGGGGGCAAGCAATTTACTATATGTGGGGTGTACTGTACCGTATATACGTATGAAATCAAAATATCCAAATGTCTCTAAATTACGTCTCTAACCCATAGTCGCCAGACATGCAGTCTTGGACAAATGATTACCTGCGCGGCACTGGCATGGAAATGTACACTGAAACATTGAGTCCCACATTTATTGGAATACCATTTGCTCAGGCCACTGAGTAAGTCACGCAGCTGGCAGTTTTCCAATTTTCCAACCATAAGCTATATCGTAATATTCGTACCAGAAACAAAACCAATTAAATACTATATCGTATCTACTACTACCTACTCTATTCTACTTGTTAATCGTGCAGCGTTGAACGAAACAAAAAATCAAAAAATTAAAATAAACAAAATATCACACACCATGAACAACATAAGATATATTCGGCCTACAAACATAAGCATAATTGTGATTTAAGGATGTATATTTCAAGTAGTAATACATCACAATTTAGCCAATTTGTAGGCCGATGAAAAACCTCACAACTCTCACACACACCACAAGTAAACACATTGTTATTCGTTTCACTCAGTTCTGATCGTCGTTGTAAATCTATCTTTTTTTGATTGTATCTTAATTTTTCGATTTTGATCGAAGATCCGGCACGTTTACACCGATCTAAGTGTTGCAACGTGTAAATGTGCCTGCCAGTGAACTTAGCTTATGATTTTCCAAACAAGTACACAAAAATACACCAGCCAAGACATTACACTGTGACAAATTAGTCGTTGTTTCAAGCAAATTCTTTGTGTAATTGAGTGTTCTAAGTGTTCAAAATGCCTTCAGTGTTTGCAAATACAAAATATGGTTTCTTATCCTTCATTTTCAAAAGCAAACTTCAAAACTTCAAACGGGCCAGTTCAACTGACTCTATTTATTTAAGGACAAACAAACACCACATACACACACCCACACACATACACACACCGATACACAGCCAGACACACAGCCAATCGCTAATGTATGGTATCTGTGTGAGCGGATTTATCCGAAACTCTCTCTGAATCTTTCTCTAAATCAATCTATCTATTTGTATCTCAGTAACAGTTCTAAGCTCTAAGTTTGCAGCGTGCATTTTTCAGTTGAGTTGGTTCTTTTCCGTTCCCGATGGTTTTCAGTTCGACCTTTTGATTTTTGCTCATTTGACACACGTTCGGTTCGGTTGAGTCTTGATGCCAATGATCCCAATGCTCGTGCCTTCTTCAATGCTGTAAAGTTCGCCAAATCGCCAGAAAGTGTACAGACCGAATGCCACCAAAGATAACCCCGAGATCGAAGCAGTATTTCTATGCCAAAAGCCAAAGCCAAAGCCAAAGCCAATGCCGAAAAAGCCAAAGCCAAAGTGTATGCAATGCCTGACCTAGAAACAAAAGCACCATCCACACCAACCAGCACCGATACTCGCCAGCTGTTGAAATGTGTGCCGTAGAACCAGATGACCCAGAAAGCGTAGGACCTGTCCCCCAAAACTATAAAAACCACCTGCCACAGCCACACAAAACCAAAAACCAAAACAGACAAACAAATAAATTAGATCCAAACCGATAATGCGCCAAGTAGTTACTTTAGCGAACTTACTAAATGCCAACCACAACAAAACCATTTTCTAACTTTCAGTCACCAGACACACAGGCCTGGCAAAATGATTATCTTCAAGGTACAGGGTGTGAGATGTACACCGAAACCCTATCACCTTCATTTACCGGCATGACATTCCCACAAGCCAGCGAGTAAGACTCAAAAATGAGAAAATAGAGAAAAAAACTAAAACCAAAAAAATTATATGCAAACTGTATAAAAAATACTACTACTTCTACTACTACTACTACAACTTTTTGCATTGTACAAAATAAGTTTGTTTAACAATTCTTTTTCCTATTATTTACCAACTTGATTCGATTCCGTTTGATTTACTCTCCTTCTCCTCATAATAACAACAACCAACAACTAAACAACTGTTTGTCGCCACTCCCCACTCTCCCACCTCTGGCCATGTATCTCGATATATATCAAAAACCCATACTCTAGAACCATAGCCACTGAAAGATCCAATTTAGCCACCAGTATCGAGAACCCGAGATCAAATCTTTCGGGGCGAACGCATTGAACAACCTGTATATTAAACTCACACTCATTTCGATTGGCTCAAACTGCATATAGCGTATCCGTATACCTGATAGTATCCGTATCCGTACTCGTATTCGTATTCGTATTCGTATCCGTATTCGCAACTGCAATCGTAATCCGCATCCGATCGCCACAATCGCTTGCTAACTGCGAACTCCGCTCGCTGCGATTCGTAGAGCGTCAGACACGTACACTGCAATTAATTCTAGAGACCCCACCCACAGAACAGCTCCACTTGTGACTCCACCTCCGAAGTCCCGAACTCATTGCATGTGCAGAATGTTTTTTAGAGTGTACCCTAGTTGGCAATGGATGATGATGATTCACTGTCGGTAGTTTTGATTTTTTTCAGACATTAATTTTTTTAATAGCATTTTTTCAACTAAGCATTTTGCCAAGCATGCCTTTTTTTGACTCGTCAAGCGTTTTGATTGTTTATTGATTTTAAACAGTGTACGCTTTCAGAGCACTCACCAATACAACGACACATACACACACTCACAAACACCCCACTCACAGACACCATATGCATGCCCTGTTTTTGAGAGAGTTCGACTACACCTTTGTAGCATACTAAAACTAGGTTCAATTACTTGTAAAGCAAAGAACTAGGCTAAGTTGAAGCGATATCGGGCGATCGGGAACTGATCAACTCCCCTCTTCCCCGCGTCTAGACTGTGTTTCTCCAAGCTGAAGCTCCTGCTGCTGGCCATCGAGATCAAGGGCGCCGAGGAGGGGGCGGACAGCAAGATTTCCATCAACCCTCGGGGGGCCAAAATCCAGGCCAACACCCAGGGTTTCTTCATAGCACAAAGCGCCGACGAGGTGAAGCGGTAAGAGGTCACCCTACAAGTCTTCCAGGCGGCTTCTGGTTTTCACTTTCCTCTCAAATATATGTTTTCTATGTAGTGACGAAGCGCACCGCAAAGGGTGTTTGAGTATATTATCAATTTTAATCATTCCGAAATATAGTTTATATTAAAGTGCAAGCCAGACTCATCCATATACTTCTATAGTATATCCAACATTTTAACTTTAATTTATAAATGTAATTTCCTTAGTGCCTGGTTCTACTGCAAGGCGTGTCATGAGGACATCAAGGACGAGACGCTGATCAAGAAATGCAAATGCAAGAACTGTAAGCAAACCCTTGTACCAAATAGTAGCCACAGCTATCTTTTTAGAGTCTTATGTATCTATGAATTTAATTTAACTTATCCGTTTTGATTTTAATATGTATTTGATTTGTTGTTTCGTTTGTGAATCGAATCGAACGTTTCGAAGACAGCCAGAATCGAAAAAGCCAAGAGAAACGATAGGAAATAACAACTCGATTTTAGTTTGTAAGAAGGAACTAGCGAGTGTTGAGGCAGTCTCTAGGTATAAGGCGCTATCTTTCTAATACTTATGAATATCTAAATATTTTACCTCTCCACCATGAAACTATTCGTATATTCTTACATATTTTTATACATAAATATCCATGTTTTTTATTATATATTTATTATGTATGTGTGTTGGCGCGTGTGGCCTCGCTCTCAATGAAATCAATACCAAAAAACTGCAACAACCAATCACAACAACTAACTATAACTATAACTATGTATAATCGAACCGAATCAACAATACCAAAACCCATTGGCATGGCTGCAACTGTTCGAACACCCCTCGCACATATCCGTGTGTGTGTGCGACTGTGTGTGCCGCACTTGCAACGTGACATAACCAAATACAACCAATTAAACCGAAATCGAATCGAATTTAATACCAATAATACAATCCAATGCCATAACTTTGTCCCACAGTGACTGTTCAGCCCAGGAGCAAATTCGATGACTTAGGTAAATCAAGCTACAAGCCGAATAATCCAAAGAACAACAAGAAACCACACTCTAATCTTGCCCACATAAAAAACAGAACACTTGATACCACACAAACACTTCTCAGTTTTCAAGTTTTACCCGATACCAATACCAATACCAATACCAACCGATACCGATTCCAACTTTTGTATAAAGTACATTTTGCATACTCCCGTTACCTTTTGTTTGTACATTGAATAAGCAAAGCGAAGGTCCCGATTCCCTAAAAACGATCCCCAGTTGAGTTTCCTATCAGCACCTCACCTCCACCTCAAGAGCACAACAAAATCAAGACCTTTCCTTTGATTTTGATTGTTTGTCTTTAGTTTTTGAAACGATTTTGCAAGGCGAACCATTGGACCGACCCATTGTGCTCAGCCCCTAACCATAAAACCGAAGTTTCCGATATCATAACCACCCTGCATACACTCGTATATAAAATATATCTGAACAACAACCATTTCGTCCTGCCCGATTACCTTGCCCACGTGCAGTTCCATTTTGGTCACTGTTTGTTTTGACATGCGCCTCTTTGTAACCCACGAAGTAAGAGTTAAATACACCCACACCTATAACGATTAACTATTTATTCCCATACAATTATCCAACGGTGATTAAGCCCCGAAGCAAACAAACCATAACGTACCATCGACCTTGTAAATATGTTTGTGCGATATGCAACCCCAGTTCTTTGATTACCTATACTACAGCCAGCAAGAAATGTTAACCAAACCTCTTCGCTTTTCCTTAACCATCACCAAAAAGAAATCCATTAGAGTACCACCATGATAGTTGACAACCACGATTTTGAGTTCAAAAGTGAATTTTGCGTTTTACGGGGCGTATGAGTGATATGCCAGCCTGAAGAAGTGAAATACAAAGGCGAAGCTGCCACATTCAAAAAGACAACAGGCGCCACGCGATATATGCAAATTTATTCAAATATTTTTCTATTTTTAAAACTCAAGCCTTCTTTGCAACTCGATTACAGCTTTGTATTTCATTAAAAAGGCATGAGAACCTCTTTACCATCCATATTTCTTTATGAACTTATAACTCACACCCCATTGATAGCCCTCTTTTGATGATCGATTTTTGTTCCAATCCTGAAACTGCACATTTTTTTAAAAGTCTGTCTCGCTAATCCTCGCTCTTGCTCTCTCTGTCTCTGTAATCCCCTCTTAATCTTTGTACTTTATACTTATGTGTTGAGAATAAGCCGAGATCAAAATAAGTGCATGGAAATGAGCACAACAATCAATTTACATCCTATCACACCATTCACCATACGAAAAACCTTTAATATGAAAGATTATACTCTATTTTCGATAAATTTTAACTCACTTTTGCAGCATCCAGCTCTAATTTAAATACTCTTCCTAATACTTATGACTAAATTATCTTTAATACTTACCGGTAGACCTAAGTTATTGAAATGCTGCGCCGTCCTCACGAATCCCCTAACACTTTTCCGTTGATTTGTGTTCTTGGCGTGGCACTCACCTCACTCACCGATCTCTATTTAAATTTTAAAGTTTAAATATATATATATATATATATCTAACGCGATTGTATATAACCGCGATTGTAGCTGCAAAGCCAAAGTGTAAATAACATTAGATCAGGTTACGGCAGAACTTAACATGGCGTTTTCAGAGAATAACCTAAGTTTATGTATTTGCTTCTATGTAGCATAATACCTGAACAATCTCAACCTATACTCTGTGAATCTGTTAATCTTAAACTGTAAACACCCAACTTAGCTGCAAATGTTCTTAAGTAGTTAGTACGTTTGCCGAGTTTGCGTTGCCTGCGTTTTGGCTTTGAAACCAGCGAAAGATCAAATTCGGGATCCAATGTGTTGCAGCTGAATATGTGAAACGCAGTTCGTAGTGCCTAGAGCTTAAGTTTCTGAACCAATCCCAGATACCGATCCCAGATATATTACACCTAACTGAACTATATATACATATGTGCATTTGTTTGTGTGTATGAGCGAGTGTCTATTCGAGTATCTACCAAATACCAACCAAAAACGTAACCATCTTGCAGATGTGGGCATGATTATGATGCAGACGGGCATGGTCAACCAAGGCATCACGTCGGTGATGAATACAATGGAGGGTACGCTTTCAAATCCATTTCCACAAACGAATCCAAAACCAATTATATGCGATTTGCGGCGCTCTATCCAGTATTAATATCCGTTTATATATACTACCAAGCCAAAAGAATTATTTGTTGCTGCTAATCCTGAACCTAATCCAAACCAATCTAAAAGATAAAAGGAGCGACAACCAAAGAACAATATTAACACTATTAACAGTCCGCTGATCCGATAAACATTGACAAATTTAGCATATTCTTTAGTTCCAGCTAAGAAATTATACAGAATTTGGTCAGCGCTCCTGAGATTTGGCTTGCCAAATTCATTGAGAAAACTAATTGAACTTGGAAACTAAATCAACATTACTAAATTAATGTACAACTGTCAGCGTTTGTGTGCCTTAGTTAATGCTAAAATCCATGAAAAGCTCTTAGCTGCTAAATGCAAAAGAATCCCCGCCAAGAACCGAACCCCGCATCATTTGGCTGGAAAACTGGGAAACTTATAAATCAGATTGTGAGGAACTGTGGATAGACTCGATAATAGCAAGCAGGGAACTCCGAGTAAATAAGTTTTAGACTAAGAGTTGAATTCAGTTCGTACTTCTGCTCCTTCTGTCGCTCTATAGTTCTATCGTTCTCTCTATCGTACTCAGTATAAATATAACATACACCTATTATAGAACTAATTTAGTTTTGCCACGATTTCTGGTTTGGTTCGCCCAAGAGTCGCGTATAGTGTCATAATAAACAGAAAGCATACCTAGTATATATTCCTTATATACATTGCATACATATATCTACTTATGATCATAAACTGCATACCACATATGAATATATCTACATAAATATAATATATTATTTACGAACGTTCAAGTACGTGTGCCGTGTGAATTTACTATGATTTCCGTATAGCGTATTTAATTTCCTATGATTTATTCATCATTTTCGTTGAATGATGTTCCAATGATAAGCTGGCGCAGTGTTGCGAGCAGATGATGAAGAAGAACTAAATTATATTGAAAGCAACAATCATTACCTTGCCATCATTTACCTATTCACACGATCCTATAAAATTCTGTTTTCATGAAACAAAAACAGTGGCCACCTTCCGGAAAGGCGTCCGAGCCGTACAAATGGTTGGGCGTGCAAGTACGTATAACTTACTCTACCTCTCTCTCTCTCTCTCTCTCTCTCTCTGTCTCTCTCTATCTCCTGTCTCTGTCTCCACTACTCTACTGTTACCGATAAGCATACGAAACATACATCTCATAACCAGAAACCACGAAACCCAACATGATTTCCAATTGGCAACCGAAATTTACCATCACATTCTCCCTATAAATCCTCCTGCTAACCAAGTTAAAACGCTCAATTACATGTTTATAGCGCCAAACTAACTGCCAACTAACTACAAACTAACTATCCAACTCTAATTGCTATTGTTCAGCTGTATATGCCATTTGCCATTCAGCAAACCAATCGAAAACTAAGCCAATTAATCAGGCAGCCAAACAATCTAAAAAAAATCAATCAATCTTTGTCGGAACTCAGAACTCAGAACTCAGAACACAGAACACAAACACCAACACAAAAAAATACACAAAGTCCCTGGACCCGCCCCTAAGTAACCAACCGCCCCTTTCCAACACTAATGCACCACACAACACACACATATCTACATGTTTCGTTTCTACTCGTTCGTTCTAGTAATTGTGTACTGTTTCGTATTCAACTTTAACCCTAGTGTGCGTGTGAGTGTGTAGTAAAGTCCAGAGAAAACCAAACCGAACTTCGCTTTGAGTCCAGTTAATATTGGAAATCAACTGTTTGGATACTACATATTCAGTAACCATAATCGATTCAAGCGTTGTGTTTTCGTATGAGCTCCATAGTATCCATACTATTCGTTTTGTTATCAAGTCGAGTCATACTCTACATAATAATCGTACTCCTACTATATCGTAAAGTATCTTGTACAAACGTTAACTACATATTGTATTGTATCTATCGTATCGCATCATATCATGTCGTATAGTATCGTTAATTCGTGATACAAATTCTAACCGTTCACGTATCTTTGGACAACTATGTCATATCCAAGCAAATACTTCAAGTTTCCTTCTTATATGATATGCATACTAAGTGGTGACACCAACTCCAACACTCCAATGAACACAACACCTCGGGTTCTAAGGACCTGCAATCCTGAAACACAACACCACACTCTACACTCATTTTCTGTAATATATACAAATTCGATCTTCTACGCCTATGGACCTATGTTCCTTTCTATATAATATTTCAAATATGTAAACCTATCATCTTTCTATTGTACCTCCCTACATACACATTCGTGTTCCGTATCAACTACTACAACTACAATAAATACTCCTGTTTATATGTCTCTGTGTGTGTGTGTAGAAGACGATGAATACTCGTTGTCAAGTAAGTCAAACTAACTCAAACTGTTGTATATCCATACCAGAAATTAAGAACATCAATTTCAATATCGCATTTGTACTTGTCGAAAACATTTCGTTATCATTTGAATTACTAGAGTTTTTGACCAATTCCCCTTCATATGTGCCAGTGCACGTTTTTCGTTTAAAATCTCGTGATTTGTATTGTACCTTGGTTTTGTTTCGGTTATTTCTCGTTTTCGTTTGAAAGAGAGAACCCCATTTAATTAGAGCCATCGTCAGTTTTAGTTTAAAACCATACATAAATCAACATGAATAAATAAAATGCAAATGACTTGTGAAAGCAAAGCAACTGAGCCAATGATTAGAACCAATATTCGATCACAACCGCCCAAAACAATAAAATGAACATAAAAAGCAAGCAGCTCCTCCTCATCCCCCCGAGCACTGCACCAAACCCAATCCTCCGGGGAACAGGAGATTCCAATTAGAGAGCGATTAAATTCCAAATTCCGTGCAGTTAAATTGCTGACCATCAATGATCGTTTTAATCAGCCCCAAAATCGGAAACAGGGGTTAAACTAGATAGTGCAACTCGTAGTTGGAGAGATCGTTTGAAGTTCTTCTTTAAGTGGGTGTTAGCAGTTCTAGCAGCCTAAGTATTAAGTGCTTGATAATCGGATACTGAAATCCAGTGAGCCAAAAAAAACCAGCTATTGATGACTATATAGAGCTATTGCCTATCTTGCTACTCAGCTTGTAATCCGCACTTAGTCAGCGTGTTGCTTAAATAATGCTTCAAGCTTTAACCGATTTGGTTTGTATCCCTATACCAGAGTACCAATATATACCACTGCTTGCTTAGCTCTGTTTGTATCTATACTCTTTTTACCTATATATAATATGTAACCGTTTGTATAAATGTAAGATGACACCATCACCAGTTCTGTTCCAACTCATATTTATTTGCATGTTTTGTTCAATATTCTATAAAGCAAATACCCTAAAATGAATCCCAAAAAGCCATACCCCGACCATCTTGAACACTTTTCGTTCAGTTTCGGCCGAGAGCCACTTTTTATTTGATTTGAGTTCGTCAGGTTTTCCTGGGTTTTCCCAAGAGTCAGACTAATTTCTCTATGATTTCCTCTCAAATTTCGTGTTTATTTAGAACACAAACCAATACTCTTACCGCTTCAGTTCTTACAAAAACCAAACACAATCCCCCCTAAAAAATTAATAAAAAAAAACAAAAAAGAAAACAGAACAAGAATTTGATGTATATTCAAAAGCAGTTTTGAGCTTCACATACAAAAGCTTGACCATATAAATAACACACAAGAAATTGCATACACACCGAATCTGATTTGCCGAGCTGTGTGATAACGAACCACCGTATTTTACAGATGAACACCATCCTGCACCCACATTTACGCCTCCAGAGCTACCCAAGCGGGTGCATGTGCGTGGATCTGTATCGGGTAAAGTCTCGTCTCCGAGTCGATCGAACGAACACTCAATTTGGTATCAGTCAGAGATCAGATCCACAGAAAGGTCATTTTGAAGCGGAGGTGTTTAGGTGGATAGCTCAGCAATCCAGCCATCCAGCCATCCAGCTCCTAGTCTCACATAACACACACACACACATCCACATCCACACCCAAGATCAAGATCACAATTCAGTTATCAGTTTGGCCCACGATTTCGTTTGCCTTGGTTCGCTTTTTCCTCAGTTGAAGACGTAAGAGATGAAATTGTATCCAATCCAATCGATAACCCATGATAATTGTTTAGATATTCGTTTGCATAACTCTGTTTTTGCGTTGATTCTTGAACAGAACTCGTTCCTCTGCTAATGTAACTCGTTGATATACTCTCTAATCTAAAGAACCGATATATATCTTCCGTATTATCATACCCACATATCGATGTCTATTTACCTTAACTTACTTATTTGTACACATCACTCGGTGTGCCTTTGTTTTCAATTGCATAACCAATCTGCTTGTTACCAATTTTGTTTATTACTGTCGCAACCACACACAAAGCATCACATAATAACAAGAACTAAGAACTAAGATCCAGTAACCTGAACCTAAATTAATTGCAACATGCAACACGCGGCTCAAAAATACCTTTCTCGATTAACTAATGACTAATACTTAAAGCCAATGAGTATCTCTTCACACTCTCTGATCAGCGCGACCGCGTTCTTGCCAAGTTTACTAATCGATTGATCTGCTCTCTATCTCTGATCTCGTCAAAAAAAATACAACGCTTCTGCCTGCCAATGCCAAATGAAACATAAAACTGCCAATCTGCCACAGGTGATATCACTCGTGACAGAGAAGATACGAATCGTAAGTTTCGACTGGAATGATTACATATCATTATCATGTGCGCAACCATCTTGTGATTACAGTACTCAATCGCAATGTGCGCCGTCCGAATGGCACCGGCAACGGTACAGGTGGCATGCACCACATGAACAACACGGCAGCGGCGGCTGCAGCAGCTGCGGCGGCGGGAAAACAGGTGAACAAGGTGAAGCCCACGGTGAACGTGAGCCGGCAGGTGGAGGGCCAAGTGATATCGCCATCGCAGTACAACAGGTAAGCCAATCGCACGTAGCCAGCGGGGCCTGTACATATATAAATATATATTTAACATGGGGTGGAACAGCAGGCCATCTACTTAACTATAGAGTTTGATCACATTAAACAGCACTCTGTTCAGTTATCAAATAAATAGCAAAGCAAAGTCGGTAATCGAGCAAGAGCAAGCAACAAGATAACTCAATGAATACACCCACTAGGAAAACTCTGTTTGCAGCTGCATCAAGTTTGATTTTCCACTTTTCCGTTGCGTTACAATCGAACAAAAAACGCGAGAGATTACACTCAATTATGGTTACTGTGTTTGCCACACATGTTTTAGTTGACACAACACAATGGTCAGGATAAGGATGAATAGGTATCTCGTACATATGTAAATGCTCTTTAACCAACTAACCAAACACCTCAACTAACTGTCTCTCACTCACCTGCTCACTCAACCACTCGCTCACTCAAGAGAAACGAATAAAACCCAAACAAACAACCAACAAATCAACCAACCAATTATTAACTTTTAACCAGTCTAAATGTATAAAAACGAACAACATCTTGTTTCAGGCCACCAGAGAATGATGCTAACCCTTATGCGGGCTATCAACTTGCTTACGAAGTTAAAAAGCTCATGTATGCGTCCATAATTTCCTAGATTTTTAACTTAAACTCTATCAAAACTAAAAAAGCCAAAAGCCTTTTTTTAACTATACCTTAGTATTCGTTAATACTTATCTAACTACATCTTATGCGCATTTTGTTTGACACACATTGATATTGACATTGATTGATCGAAAGCTATGCCATTCCATCAAACTCGCGTACTAAACATAATGAATTATAACAAATTTGTGCGTTTTTTTTTTTGTCATGTCGCTGTCTTCTGTGTCTGTGTGCGTATGTGTACGTGTGTCTGTGCGTTTGTATATGTTGGTGTGTATGCGTGAGCGCCCCATGATTATTTTCGCCATCTAAACTATCCCCAGCATAACTAACCGCATTCCATTCTGAAGCATTCTGTCTACTAACACCTAATATATTAGTTCTCTCTCTCTGCCTCTCAAAGTAAACTAATAAGTGCCAATTTTACTTTGAGTTCAATGAATAATTCATATGGGTTTCATATTCTTTGAAGCTGCTTTTTAAGAACTTCTTTAATTCTCCTTTTACTGATTTATTTGCCGTGAAAATGTTATGTATATTTTAACTGTACGCAAATATTTATGTAAGAAAAGCGTTTTATAATATGGATTTCCCTTTGCGAAACTTAAGATCATTCCACCAATTTTGAGAAAAAGGATCAGTCAAAAGCGTAGCATACCGTTTGGCGCATACTACGATAATTCTTACAAATATTACAACTTCTTCTTCGAGACTTATAAAAATAAGCTGGTTCCAGACCACGAAAGCATACATTAAGCTCAATAATCGCCCATTTTCTCCTGCATTCTATGTCTATTTCTCTGAATCATTTGAACTGAATTGCAATCTAAGTGTTGTGTGTGTTGTTCCTGTGTTCATCTTTGTAATAAAACTGCACCAGTGTACCATATATTTTATGTTTTTTTTTTAATTAATAAGAAGCAACATTAAGTTTTGTAGATGAAAATGCCAAGTTCGGCGGATCGGAAGGGTTATGGAATAGAATAACTAAGGCCGCTCCCTCGCGCATGAAGAGCACCTAAATCACAATGAAACACCTGGAGGGAGTTTGGCTACCACCTAATACACTATATACTATATAAAGTCTTTGATCCATACATCCCAACCGCCGCCGGATAGTGCAGTTAAGCATTTTGCGTAGTGACATATTGATTTATTCTAAAATTCTTGTTCGCATTCATTTCGAGACTTTTGTTATTAGCACATGATCTCTCTATCTCTAACTCTCTATCTATCTTACTATCCGTGTATTTATCTTTGTAAACGTAAAACTCTCTATCTTTAACTATCGTATATTGAGATCACATTTTAATTCAATATGCCCCAAGTACTCGTACTCGTATTGAAGTATTCACATCATTTATTGAACGAAACACGTACTCGTAGCGTTTCCGATGAACACTTTGCATTTGGATGTAGCGTTTGTTTTTGAATTGAATTGGTTGATAATCTGCATATGCAAGTCAAAAGTTGAATCGAAGTAAAACCCATTATGATCGAATCGAATCCAGCTCCAGCACAGACCGCCCGATGGCTAACTTCTATCTCTATCCTATCGATCTACTTGTGTCTAGGCCGACGAGTCGCAGTTCCGGTACGGGCACTCAGAATCAAAACGGCGGCGTATCCTTGCCCGCCGGCATTGCGGACGACCAGTCGAAGGACTTTGATTTCGAGAAGACCGAAATGAAGTACGACTCGACGGGAATGTTCCACTGGAGTCCGGCAAAGAGCTTAGAAGACTGCATACTGGTAAGTCCAGTGCAATCAGTGCTCATTGAATTGGTATGAAAGTTAACCTGCACATTTCTCCACAGGATCGCAACCAGGCGGCCATGACCGTGCTGAACGGCCACGTGGTCGTGTGCCTGTTTGCCGATCCCGATTCGCCGCTGATCGGGCTGCGGAATCTGGTGATGCCGCTGCGGGCGTCCAACTTCCACTACCACGAGCTGAAGCACGTGGTCATTGTGGGCTCGGTGGACTACATCCGGCGCGAGTGGAAGATGCTGCAGAACCTGCCCAAGATCTCGGTGCTCAACGGATCGCCGCTGAGTCGAGCCGACCTGCGGGCCGTGAATGTCAATCTGTGTGATATGTGCTGCATCCTGTCGGCGAAAGTTCCTAGCAACGACGATCCCACGCTGGCCGACAAGGAGGCGATCCTCGCCTCGCTGAACATCAAGGCCATGACCTTTGACGACACGATCGGTGTGCTCAGCCAGCGCGGCCCGGAGTTCGACAACCTGAGCGCCACCGCCGGCAGTCCCATTGTGCTGCAGCGGAGGGGCTCGGTGTATGGCGCCAATGTGCCCATGATAACAGGTAAACTGCATCGCACTAAGTTGGCCGAGTTTGCGAACGAACGAACGATTGTGAGGCTGGCCAGGATGTGGATGGGGAGTGTGCATGGGTAATGGTAATGGTAAGGGATCCTGGGGTGGAGGGTGCATCCGATATCCTGGCCAGGCTCACCCGCTTTCTGCTCCGAATGCGGTTTAAGTGTGTGCTCTACTAATGCTTCACATGTTGGTTGTCGTTTAAAGAACTGGTCAATGATAGTAACGTGCAGTTTCTCGATCAAGACGACGACGATGATCCAGATACAGAACTATATCTGACGCAGCCTTTCGCCTGCGGCACAGCCTTCGCTGTGAGTGTGTTAGACTCGCTGATGTCCACGGTAATGTCCTTGTTTTAGTCACTGAAGGGGTCTTCCCTCTTAGCTCCACTGTTGTGTTTGGTCATATGTATAAACTTTCGCTTGATCCCCAACTGTACAGACTTACTTCAATCAAAACGCCTTAACGCTGATCCGCTCACTGATAACGGGTGGCGCCACGCCCGAGCTGGAACTGATCCTGGCCGAGGGAGCTGGCCTCCGCGGAGGCTACAGCACCGTGGAGAGTCTGAGCAATCGAGACAGGTAAGTGGCGGACTCCATGAGGTGTCGAATCAGGCAATATCCCAAATAATCACTGATCACTGATTAATGTTTTTCCCTTGCTAGATGTCGAGTGGGTCAAATCTCGCTGTACGACGGTCCGTTGGCTCAATTTGGGGAGTGCGGCAAGTACGGGGATCTGTTTGTGGCAGCCCTCAAGTCGTACGGAATGCTGTGCATCGGACTATACCGATTCAGGGATACCAGCTCCAGTTGTGATGCGAGCAGCAAACGTTATGTAATAACCAACCCACCCGATGACTTTTCACTACTGCCAACAGATCAGGCAAGTTGCCCCATAAGCATACATTATCATTCCACTATACAATGTGCATCATATAGGTATTCGTTTTAATGCAATTCGATCCGGGCCTGGAGTACAAGCCGCCAGCGGTACGAGCACCTGCCGGCGGACGAGGCACCAACACACAGGGTTCCGGGGTCGGTGGGGGCGGCTCCAACAAGGATGATAACTCTTGATTGTTACTGTGTAGCGCCTTAACTGATGGTCCTTATTCGTACATTTGAACGATGGAGAAGCTGATCGAAGGCAGAGCAGCGCATTTGTGGCAACGCACCCACAACTACCTATTGGCATAAGATATTTGATACTCGACAAGGCGACAACAAATCGGCAGCGAAAAAAAGACATATTTGTATGTAAATCGATTGTACCGTGTACAAAAGTGAAATCAAAAGCGTTAATAAGTTAGAGAATACGACCATAACTTGCGTGCCATGAAATGCGCTGCTCTGCTCTTTTATGTGTGTGAAGGCATGCGGCTCGGTGTATTTTGTCCATCCAAACTAACAATCAAGAGACAACCGGAACCGGAACCACTGACCACCAGATCAACGTCGACGGCAATGCCGCCTGTCTCCACACATATAAAAAGCTAATCCGGATCGGGGGACCAAGAACTTAGCCCTGATATCCATCGTTCAACTGCCAACTGATTGCTTCCCACATCATTCCGTATGCCTTTTTAGAACCTTGAAATTATCATATTCTGTATATCTATAATTTTAGTCTTGCAACTACATTGGTTGATTTTGTATCCTTGTTTATCCCTCTTATTTTGTAATCAACATTGTGTGCCCCAATAAAATATTCGTATTATTATTTGACTTTTAAGTTGGTTTGTCATATGGTTTGCCCCCAATTTCGTCTTCAAGCAACAATCATTAGTTATACTTATGGGTATGTATTTACGTATGAGTGCTGTCGACTATCATTTACATTTACATTTACATTTATACTTAAGAATCATTTACCACTAATTTTCGTTTACATTTTGAGTTCACTTCATGGCGCTATCATTGCATAAGAAACAATTGAAAATTGAATTCTAAACGAAAATCCATCTCAATGGTGTGACGTAAGCAATTGGGAACCATTAGTGAGGTAAGCTACACATTAAACTAGGAAACAAGGAATACTGAGCGAAAAACAAGAAACTACCAAAAACTACAAACTAAGTCTACTCGATCTGTGTACTCTCATGTCTCAAAATCTATCTCTAAGTCGCTGAATGCGGCCACAACGCAACAATTTATATCGAACACACCAATTAAACACTGCAAACAATGCATTGCGGATTGCTTTTGGCTGAGATACAGATACTGATAGCGACAAACAGATACAAGGCAATGAGGCTAAAATTCAAAAACTGCATTTAGAAGTTTCTGAGCATGCGCAAAACGATTTATATAGAGCAGAGCATATTGTAATAATTCAACTTTTAATGTAAACCTAAAAACACAAATATCGATTAATGACATTTAACACCTAAAGCCAACAATCTGCTAGCTAATTCGTATGCCTAAAACAAATACACATATGGCTCGACCTGATCCTTTATGAAAGCCAGAGAAAACATGGTTGTTTCTACCGAAGAATCGCCCAATCAAGGCTGTTTTGAGGCAAATACTAAACCATATGCAAAGTACTACACTTAACTAGAGGAGTCTCAGCTTTTTCACTCGACGCAAGTCAAATTTGCTAATTGCTAATTCTAAATTGAACAACAACTTCTTACATTCACATCTCTACACAAAAAAAAAAAACAAACACGCTGGGGAGAAAACCCTGAGAAAATATTGTAAGTAGCGCATTCGAATCATAATTAAATACCACTTAATATAGAGGATACCTAGGCCGGAATATAGAGTGCGACGAAAGCTGATGAAAAGTAGTTAGTAATATTTTTTAGTGTATGTGAATGAGTGCGCTTTTTACCAGCGATTTACGAGCAGCAACTGTGGTGTTCTAAACAAATTTTGATAGATACAATCGGTAACCAAATGGCGAAAACGTTAAGTTCCAACTCCGACTTCTGGCTATAACCTTCTGTACTAACTTCTCTACCAACTTCACGCACTTGCGCTCGAAACTTTCAAAAGAAACGCTCTGATTTTTTGTACATAGCCTGTAAATATGATAAGTAACTAAAGTATCTCGAGTACGATATCGTTTAATCCGTTTATCCTGTGCTGTTTCGTTTTGCCGTTCAAAAAGCAAGAGTTTTCTGATCATAATTGTAATTTGTTCAAATGATAAACACTGCCAAAGCGTATAGAAATCACATTAAATGTAGATCACAACCAAAAACAAAAACCGAAATAAAACAGCAGACAGCATTCATCAATAGTGGGAAAACCAAAGAAGCGTAACAAGAAAATGGCACAGAATAGCAACCACTGGATTTGTTTTGTTTGATTGTTTTCACACATGATTAGCGAATAACAAATTTAAGTAAAACGAATTCGAGCTTTTAAATTTAATACGAAGAATAAAACAAAAATCGAACATAACCGTTTATAAGAAAAAAGTGAAAATAAAGGAGAGCCAATTACCATTTCGTTTCATGATTGATTTGTAGTGGCATTTTGTGCAGTCTAGGCTTACCCAGAACGTAAATTAAAAACAAAATATGTGAATATTATGCGCCTTCGAAATTGATGTAAACGTGTATGTAGCCGTGCGATGTGAGAAACATTTAAACTCCATTAAAGTACATTTAATTTAATGGTAATGGTAAAGGTAACGATAATGGTAAAGGTAATGATTAACGTAATAGTCAAGTGTAAATGTTAACGAAACGAGAGCATAGCATAGCTTAGCATAAACTACGACGACTAGTTATCGCGACAAGCAGTTCATATATTGTTAATGATAAACTTATTATTAAATCGACAACAAAACGCATTTGCAATCCTAACATAATATTAATAATAATAAAAATAAATTAAAAATCGATGAATAGGCGGTGGCGTAGCGAAAACCCAAAAGTTAAACATAATTTTTAAATGAATAAACTAGTTATTAAATTTATAGAAACCTCACTTATACACCTACACCACACCAATACTCACACACACTCAAAAAATCCACACTCACACACACTCAACAGCGATGAACCCAACAACAAGAACAAAAATGAACTCTCGATGTTGTGAAACTTGATAAAATCATGTTTACGCTATAGCCGATCTACATAAATGAAATAAAAATGAATGCAGATATAGTACATACTCAACCAAGGAAAACCAGAAACTATCCGAAAGAAAGCTTCTCTGAATCAAAGGAAATTAATCGAAAAATATAGAAATGAAAATCACGCTGACAAAGCTGCCTTTCCCATTCGCATTTCCCAATTGATAATTGATTATGGGTAATAACTTCGAGTATTTTTCCACTTCGCTCAATTCAACACTTCCGAGCAGCTTTGTTTTCAACAAATAATATATATTTACATGCATATATATTAATAATGTCGCATACAACTACTCAATGCCGTATAAACTAGTGTAAGTGCAAAGGTTTTTGTAGAAAACTCGTAAATAAAAAACCAAACAAAAAAAAAACGTATAAAATATATTATCATACTCGTAAATGTGAAGCTATGCAGCATTTTACTGTAGTTAGATTTTTTGTATAGAATCAACGTTTGCAGCTAAAAACCAAAACGAAAACCGAAACTAATATGATAATTTTACAGGTTTAAGGCGGAAATGTTCATTTTTTTAAGGAATAACGATATTAAGATATCATAATTAACATAACAAATAGTAACTAAAAACCAAGCAAAAAAAGAAAAACGAAAAAATATTTTTTATAATTTCGCAGCACTTTCACATGATACCCGCACACGCACACATATACATCCGGCTATGTGTGCTAAAAAAATTGTATAAATAATGCAAACCCAAAAAAAAAGCAAATCATATTAATGTAGTTACATTTTTTTAGTTTTTACTCGCTATTTATATGAGGTATATTTACACAACGGAAAACGTAAACGTAGACATAAATAAAACGTAAAAAAGCGATAAAAAATCATAAATTTAAATTGAAATTAAACAAAATTAAACCGAAATCAGAGCAGAAAGCATAAAATGACAAATTAGTTTAGTTTAAATCGGTCCTGCAAAGGCAAAAGCAACAAAAAATAAATAAAATTTTAAATAACAAATTAATGAGCTAAAAATGCATATTTTAAACATTTGTCTAAAACGCAACCGAAAAAAAACCAAAACAAATGATAAATGTATGAAATAAAAGGTATAATAATAATATTATGTTGTTAATGTTTAAAAAACCTTGTTAAAAATAATATTTCAAAATAAAATATAAATACTGAAAAAAAATACAAAAAAACAACAAACGCACCGAGTTTTCGAAGAGCCCTTCTCTGCGCTTCTCAAATGGGCTACGTAAGCAGCTGCAGAACTTCTAGAAACTTCGAGTTTTCCAAGAGCCCTTCTCTGCGCTTCTCAAATGGGCTACGTAAGCAGCTGCAGAACTTCTTGCAACTTCGAGTTTTCCAAGAGCCCTCCTCTGCGCTTCTCAAACGGGCTACCTAAGCTGCCATCGCACGCACCGGATTTTCGAAGTGCGCTTCTCAAATGGGCTACGTAAGCAGCTGCAGAACTTCGAGTTTTGGAAGAGCCCTCCTCTGTGCTTCTCAAACCGGGTACCTAAGCTGCCATGGAACGCACCGCTTTTTCGAAGAGCCTTCTCTGCGCTTCTCAAATGGGCTACGTAAGCAGCTGCAGAACTTCTTGGAACTTTGAGTTTTCCAAGAGCCCTCCTCTGCGCTTCTCAAACGGGCTACCTAAGCTGTCATCGCACGCACCGGATCTTCGAAGTGCACTTCTTGAATGGGCTACCTAAGCAGCTGCAGAACTTCGAGTTTTCGATGAGCCCTCCTCTGCGCTTCTCAAACCGGGTACCTAAGCTGCCATGGAACGCGCCGCTTTTTCTAAGAGCCCTTCTCTGCGCTTCTCAAATGGGCTACGTAAGCTGCCATTGAACGCACCTAGTTTACGAAGAGCCCTTCTCTGCGCTTCTCAAATGGGCTACGTAAGCAGCAGCAGAACTTCTTGGAACTTCGAGTTTTCCAAGAGCCCTCCTCTGCGCTTCTCAAACGGGCTACCTAAGCTGCCATCGCACGCACCGGATTTTCGAAGTGCACTTCTTGAATGGGCTAACTAAGCAGCTGCAGAACTTCGAGTTTTGGAAGAGCTGGAATGAGTTTTAGAATGGGCTACCTTAGCAGCTAACGAAAAACCCGATTTTTCGAAGAGCCCTCTGCGCTTCTCAGCTGCCATTAACAGCGCACTGATTTTTGAAGCTACCATCAACCTTCGGTTTCCGCAGTGGTTCTTCTCCCAGGGCTTTCAATTCCTCCGGATCGGCATAGCATTTCCAAGATTCCTGAACACCAAAATGATAGATGGTTTGAAGAAGATGCGTTGAAAATCCGGCTGATTTACGGCATCTGGATAGTTAAGGAGCTGGAGACTAAAACCACAGTGCTGCCAATAGTGGGTGCGCCAAAAACATTTACAGGTATGTAACTTCAAAATTCGATTAAGATAAGTTGAGTTGAGGAGTTTAGATCTTCAGCTTTGGGGCATTTTTTAATATTTTTGAATTTTTTCAACATTACACATCAGAAAATCAGAAAAATTACAACAAAAAATTAATTTCTATTTTTAAATGCAGATAGATATGATACATACATGCATGGAAATATGATACTTCAAAATCCAATTAAGATAAGTTGAGTTATGGAGTTTAGAGCTTCAGCTTTGCTGCATTCATCAGAAAATCAGAAAAATTACAAAAAAAAATAAATTTCTATTTTTGAATGCAGATTTTTAGAGAATTGCGCCAGAAACATTTAGAGATATGACACTTCATAATCCGATTAAGATAAGTTGAGTTATGGAGTATAGAACTTCACCCTTAGGACATTTTTTAATTTTTTTGGATTTCTACAACATCATACATCCGAAAAATTAAAAGAAAAAGGTTAAAAAATAAATTTCTAAATGCAGATTTTTAGAGAATGGCGACAGAAAAATATAGAGGTATGCCACTTCAAAATCTGATTTAGATAAATTGGATAAATTGGAAGTGCGAAAGAGAAATTTCATAATTTTCTGGAGTACGTGTATGGTGAAAATTTCAAATAAAATTAAGAAATGAAAAAAAAAATTGTTCAATAATGTGGGCGTGACAGTTTTGGGCGGTAGAGTGGACTTGACAAAACTATTTGTTACATACTTTTCAACGAATATAGTATATAATCTAGTTACTCTACGAGTAACGGGTATAAATAGCAAAGAAATTACCACCAAACTGACAGCTTTATGAAAGTGAAATTTTGATTTATGGCCCAAAGGCTTGGGCCGCCAAATACTGACCCAAAAAAAGGCAGTCCGGGCGTTATAAAATTCCAATGACCAATTGCGTTTAGAAATTGGGTGTCGCGCCTTGCATAAAATGCGACCAATTATTGGGGAGCGTTTCATAAGCATGTCTCATTACCATTGAAGGGCCTTTGGTGTATGAAAACAATTGGTATACATCCGAAATGAAGCCTACTCTTCGGAATTCATTGTTAATGGAAAATGCATCCAATCGTTTTTAGGACACATCTGAATTAAGTCACATTACCATTAAATAACGCTTAAAATACAGCGCAAGCATTTTTACGAAACTCTTAGCCGCAAATTGGTCTGACTTCTTTTCAAAAACTAATTCGAAAATGTTTTCA